CTATCTTAATAATTCCATGAGTCAATCTTTCTGTGATGGCTTGATTACTGTTATTATTTATATAACTATACTTAAGATATTATTTTTCTTTAAATTACCTCCGATGCCTGGCGCGTTAAGCTTTTATAGCGATCTCAACCTCCCCTTATTAGATTGTTTAATCCTTGCTTTAGCTCTATGCTGAGTAACAGGCCATATAGATCTAGACTCTATATCTGGTCCTTGCTGGTGTCATCTTAGATAATTATAATTTATGAATTAAAGATTCTCAGTCTTTTAATCAATCTGTAAATTATGATTCCTGAGCCATAGAATCCTTAACATAATATCATACTATTTTAAAGATATCATGTTAAAGTCTATATACTTATAGTGATCCTTTACAGTTATAGATACCAGTCTTAACTTGACTATTAATATAAGAATTTCCAAATTTTCTTTATTTAGTTCTGTAATCAGTTCAGGTTTTTCTTTTTATTATCTAAGTATCCTAAGTTGTTATATAAATCCAGGGTGTATGAAGTTCCCGATTATTTTAAAATCTATCAGTATTTAGGCTGATTAATCTAATATAACTGCTTAAATCTTCAGATACAGTCCTGATTTAGTAGCTACTAACTACTGTTTTAGCTAGTTAGGTTTTAACTACTGTGAATGTCTTCTTAAAAATCTCAAGCCTTCTATCTTTACTATATAATATATTATATACTAATCATCAAAACATGCTAGTTAATATATTAATCTGTGATAAGAGTATCTCTGGTACTCTTTATACATGCATTTAAAGATATTATATAGACAGTGGCTTACCTTAGCCCTAACTACTTTCAGTATTTTAGATTAGTAATTAATAATATACTTTTAATTATAGTGTATTAAGCATATATTCATATAATATATAAGCTAAGAAAGTTTATCATATCTTTAATAATCTCTACTTTCTTTAAAATAAACGCACAGACATGATTTATCATATCAAGATTTTATTTCTGTAATATTTATCTTCTGATTAACTTCTAATAGTTAATAATAATAATCTGTATTATCTCATCCATATGTTAAACAAACTTCTGGATAATAAGAGCATCTTTATAGATATTATTTTTAAGTCTTATTTTATGATTCTCAATATTTTAAATCTTAATGTGAGCAATGCTGTATAATTATCTTAAGCTCTGGACAGAATTATGCTGGATTCTTCAAGATCTTCTTCAAGATACAGTCTAATTAATAAGCAATATTTTCTTAATTATTCTTTTAGTTCTCCTTATCCTCATCTCACTATGATAGACAGAGTTTACTAATTTCTGATAGAGATTTTTTAGGAATATCAGATATCTTATTAAGTCTTTTCTTACTGGATTCAAGATCTTTAAATAATATACTATACTCTTTATCCAACGGTTTATTTTTATTCTAAACTATACTAGAATAATCATTCCTCAGAACTAGCTTATAATTATTATTATTAACTTCTGTGATCTAAACTAATAATACAGATAATTATTAATCTTTTTATTAACTAGATAGTACTGTTAACTTATCTAGAATGGCCTGTTATCTTAACTAATCACGGTGCATCCTATCCTCTAATAGCTAACCATGCTGAATAGTATATAACTTCTTGTTATCTGGTATCCATATTACAGAATCTGTCTAAATCTTGTGCTGAATGGTGGTAATATTATAGGCTTCTCTACCTTAATCTTGGTATATAGTCCTCAATTGCTTCTGAGGCTGTTATTGTTTCTGATTATAGTTCTTTAACTGGTGACCTGCTTTGCCGCAGCTGAAGCATAAACAGTCTCATTTATATTGTTCAAGTTTCTTCTTAGATACTCAAGTCTCTTGAGTCTGATGCTGTGCTACATCTAGCTCCATAGGCTTCAGCCTATAGGGATCTTTGTATCCCAAGCTTCTAGGTTGTACCGACCTTCCGTTGTTAGCTCAGTAATCTAGCTAGTTATTATATTAAGGTATAGACCCGCTGGTCTACCAACCCTCTTATTATTTTATATTAAAGTTATACAGCTTATTATCAATCTTTACTACTGCTTTAATCATCTTGACCAAGATGTCTGGTTGTTCTTATCAAATAATCTTTTCTTAGATCTCCATCTTGAGTCCTTCTTCAAATTGTAAGATGTAAGTATTATCATCCTAGTCTAGATAATTAATAACTTGCTAAAACTCTGAAACATATGTAGATACCAATCCTATCTGCTTAAGTCATTATAACTTTTACTCAGTATTTTATACTGTATTAATATCTCCAAATATTTATTTAAGATACTGTTTAAATCTGATATAACTAGTAAAAAGTCATTTTGTATCATCATCCTGATTACTTACTAACTTTTCTTATTACTTGTAAATATATGGTTTAAATTAATCAAATACCGCTCCAGTAAGATAAGTAAACATGAAAAAGATCTTGTTCTCTTTATTCTTAAGCTTTTTCTTGTTTATGTTGAGGTACAAGTCTAACTGGGTCAAGAAAGCCCTGAGCTTTGCTTATTTGCTGTTGAATGGCTCGGGTAGTCAGACCTTAACAGATTTGATTAATAAGCAATCTTTGAATAACTGGTTCTTTTGTTCTAAGGCTGTGATGCTTTCTTGTAGCTAATCAACCATGTCCATCAGTTTCTTAGTTATCAGGCCCTGCTGCTGAGGCGCTCGCGATATGTTCAATATAGTTAATATGATGACTAGTTATTACTGGATAACACTCGTACTAACTGGTGCTTAATATATTAAACCCTAGGATTACTTCTCCCTGTTTCTGTTAACTTAGCTCCTGTTCTGATATGTATCTTGTAAACTAAATCAAAGATAGTCAGGTTATTAACTATCTAAAGGTGACTTGATCTGAATAAGAGAAGAGAAGTAAGGCCAGATAATGCCGTGCAGCTATCCGTAAGTAAGTGCGGACGAGTGTTGTCACTAAGCTCTACCAAAACATAGGTTACTTAAAGACAGTGTTATTGAGTATGAAGAACAGAACTAGCTAAGTACATAAAAGAGTGTCCTTATATCCTATTCTCTGTATACTATTTCGTATACCATTCAGAGTAGATTAAGGGTCAATCTAATCACATTCCTAGATTCCGTATACCATATTGTATACTCTTGATGGTAGATCTGATGGTAGATAGTCACATAACACAGTGTTGCCTCGGGTGTTACCCCAACCGGGATCTTACTCAATAAGAGTTGCTGGCTGCCCGAGTCCTTCCTGGTCGTTACCTTTCTGCCTGACGAGTCCGCTTCTGCTAGTAACCTGGCTAGCAGGGGTCTGTAACATGAGTATGGATGAGTATTATCACTAAGCTTTCCAAATATATGGTTACTTAAAGACAGTGTTATTAAGCATAAAGAATAGAACTAGTTAAGTATATGAAAAAGTGTCCTTATATATCCTATTCTCTATATGGCATCATTATAATATGTTATACCACTGATATGTTATCTCATATTACTGTTATGTCCTGTCATAGCGCTGATATATTGTAGCTTGTCAGTGACATGTTCATTGTGGTCACGTGCTGTGTAACTGTTCCGGGTATTGGTTACTCAGATCAGGATTTTACTTGATAAGAGTTCGTGTCTGTCTGGACGTGGCCTTCTGCCTGACGAGTCCGCCTCACTAGTTGTTCAGCTAGCAGGGGTCCGTAACAAGTTAGTCTCTGTTTTAAATAATCTAGATATTCTGGATATTCAATATCTTGTAAACACTCCTGCCTTTACTACCCCTGTAGGTAAGTTATAGAGAAATCTTAATAGATTAATTAGAAATATTTTAAATCAGTGGAAAAAGAAATGAAATAAAAAAATATAAATTACTAACTTATTAAGTAGAGCTTACCTGACTAGCCAGAATTTAATAATAAGAATAATAATCAATTATATTATTATATAGCAGGTCCCAGCTATTCTTAGTATGTTTATTATTCTACTAGTGGTTGCTAAGAGATATTATATAATAAGATAAGATATTTATATTCTATATTTATATATTAGGTGTAAGATTGTGTTAAGAGTAATATTTTAAGACTTTATATTATTATTTTTGTAAAATAGAATAAGATATACACATTCAATCTCTTTGGTTTAACCTATCTGCTAATAATAACTGGCTAGATACTTATTAAACTGGATATCTGTGTTGTCGAGTCATATGTAAGCAGCGCCGGAGGCGCTGCCATACTACTTGTCAGCTTTGTACCACTAGCGCCTGGCCATTTCGGCCCAGCAAAATTCTTGTCTTCTGCAACTCAACTCATCTCAAGTCCCCAAATCTCGGGGGATATGGAGATGTAGATAGCAGGAACCCTTAGGGCCTGTCGTCTCTATCAATGTCTAGGTCACGATCTAGTATCACGAGCGACGGACACGATCGCCTGGAACCGCGACTGCTGCGGGCAGCGGAAAGCGACCATGTCGAGGCTCTGCGGCACGTCGTCGAGTTGGCCCGCGAGAATGGCCAATTCAGCGACAATTTCCTGCGCGTCGGCCTCATGCGCAGTTGTGAGCGTGGGTCGGTCGCAGCAACCCAATTTCTCCTGGCCTTGGGCGCAAAGACCGACGTCGCAAATAATCGTCCCTCACCGCTACTACGCGCCGTGGAGCGTAACCACGTCCGCATCGCGCAACTTCTGCTGGATTATGGAGCTTCGCCGGAGATAGCGGACAAGAAGGGTCGGACGGCCTTGATGACAGCAGCATGGAAAAACCACTGGCATGTGCTTCAACTGCTCATTGCGCGCGGGGCAGATGTCAACGCGAAGGACCAGAAGAAGAGGAACGTTTTGCACAATTTGGCCGCGGATAAGCAGTGTGACTGGGGCGAGGATGTTGTCGAGCTGTTGCTGCGTACCAGCTGCAAGATTGACGGGGTTTCTGGCCAGGATGAATTGGGTCGTACCCCTTTGCACTGGGCCTGTGCGACGGGCAAATTTCGCTTCGCGGAGCTGCTTCTGGCCCGACCGGAGGGACCCATTGCGGATGTGAACGCAGTCGACATCAGAAACAAGACATCGCTCCATATTGCTGTAGCCCATGGTCGCGAGGACATCGTTCAACTCTTGCTCCGACATAATGCAGATGTCAATTCAAGGAGTGACGGAGGCTGGACGCCACTCCACAACGCGTGTGACAAAGGGGCCGAGTTGATTGCGCGTATGCTCTTGCGGGCTGGGGCTCAGGTCAACAGTCAGCTGTTGAACGGTGTTACATCACTGCATTTGGCTGCGCAGGCGGGTCATAAGGAGGTTGTCGAATGCTTGATAGAACATAAAGACCTGAAAAGGAGGATCCGCGACAACTTTGGCAGCACACCGTTCCTGCGAGCAGCTCAGTTCAAGTGCAAGGACATTGTATCGCTTCTCGCCCCGTTCAACAACGTTGATGCGCTTACGCCAGAAGCGAAGGGCGCGTGTGAAGCGTTTGAGGCCACCGTGGTCGACTTTGGGAATTTCCACAATGAGAACCGAGTGAAGAAGACGTCGGTTTACAACCTTCTGTATGGTCGAGATTCCGAGAATCCGCGGAAGCAAGCCTTCAACACCCTCCCAGCCGATAGTCGGGCGACCGAATTTCGCTGGATTCACCTACCTGCAAACAACCTAACCTGGGTTGAAGCCCTGCTGACCAAATCCTTCATCGAGGAGGGGGCGCACGACGTAGAGAGCTTCAAAGGGCTTGAAAGATCGTTCCGATACCAACACCGTGGGCAAAGGACCCATTCGCACTTTATGCGACCGTTGTGCCAGAGTACCCCTCGCGCAGCACGAATCCATGAGGATAGTTCGGAGGAAAAAGAGGTGGCTTCTCCCCAGATCCTTCTTAATGGTCAATCCATCGAGACTCCGAAGTCACCAGGAGATGGAAGCAACCAGAGGGGTCGGAAACAGAAACCACAAGGCAGCAAAGGCGATCGGCCAGACACCAGTGCGCACGACGATGGCATGAATGGACCTCCTGGAAAGAAGGGAAAGAACGCAGCCAAGCGCGGAAAGATCGGGGCATTGGCGAAGCCTGAGCCGAGGAACCAGTCCCTTGCTGCTCGGGAGAAGCATCGGCCACTGCTCTCCTTGGGCAAAGATCAGGCGAACACGTCCTGTAACGTGTGCATGTTTATGCCCTACTTGCATTTTGAAACAGATGAAAAAAGGAAACAGATGCAGGAAGCGATTAAACGGGCTGAGACGCGGAGCCTGGGCCGTCCGGGCCTCACGCGGACAGCCACGAGAGACGAGCTTCTCATCAGCGCCCACCTCGCGTCGTCGATGTCTTCGCTGCATATCAGACGAACGTTAGACCAGTTTTTCTATCCAAACATTGATACGCAGACTCGAGACCAGGACCAGGTCGTCTTCCGCTACCAGACGAAAGGACAAGGGCGCGAACGTTTTTGGGCCGAGCCCAAGATCTTCATGGTCGATCAGCTCTGGATGTGGATCATTGGAACAAACCTGATTGTAACCGGGTTCCCCCAGCGATGGGACCAGCCCAAAAATGATCCCCTCAATGTTTTAGATGGCATCATTGAAGATATCAATTCTAAGACCAGGGAGCCGGTGCGGTCCGTTTACGACCTGGCCATCCTCATTACCGCGCGCTGCTCTGGCATCTTCGACCGGCACCGCATGGGAGATGAAGAGTACCAGTTTTTGGACATGTTTGAGGCCTCTATCGGTGTGGCCACAGACCGTGAGACAGTGCTCTTCAATCGATTCAACCGGGCGTCCGCGCAGGCATCCGACTGGCTCAAAAACCGCCGCAAGCTTAACCGCTTTGCCAGGAATCCATCCACCAAGGATGACACAGCAGAGAACAGCATTGAGCGGATTCTAAAGGAGGAGGAAGAGGATGAGCAGCCCCTCTTCGTGGATAATCTGCTCGATATCGGCCAGGAAACCGAGCTCCTTTCCGAGGCAAAGGATATCCGCGACGAGCTCAACATGATCCGTACAGTCTTGCAGCATCAGCAAAACGTCCTTCTGGATTTCCAAGAGGCCATCTGCGAGATTTACTTCGGACAGCAGCGCTCGCAGTACGAAGTCAAGAAGCGGTTCAAAGAGCAGCAACGTACGATCGACATGCATCTGAAGGATATCGACCGGATGGACAAGCAGGCGGAGCGGATCTATTCTTCCATCACCGATTTGCTGGACCTCAAGCAGAAGCACGCCAACGCGTTTGAGGCGCGGTTCGCCCGCGACCAAGCTGCCGGGACGACGCGCCAGGGCAAGATCATGATGGTTTTTACCATCGTCACGATCGTCTTCCTCCCATTATCTTTCATCACGTCTGTCTTTGCCATTAATCTGGCCGATTTCCAAGGGCCAGACGGGTCTGAACTACTGCATCTGCCGTACGTGGCGAAGTACACGTTTGGCATCGGGTTTGCCATCTCCATTCCACTGATTTTGGTTGCTTTGTCTGTTGATGATATCGGAGATGGGTGTCAGGAGGGCATGCGACGAATACGCCGGTGGATGACACGGAAGAGGGCAAATGAGCCCACTGGCGTGCAGGGAAGTCCGAGGCCGACAGCATTCGAGACCGAGAAGATACTCAGTGCCAGGCGATCTCGGAAAAGCCTGGACACGGATTTTGCAGGCAGTCTGCTGCCTGTGTCGACACGAGGGACGGTGATGTCCCGGCGAGATGACTTTTATTGATGATGATGATCAAAATGACTGATGATTATGACATGTAAGGTATATAGGATGTATGGCAAGATAGACAAATTGTTGGGCTGATCATGCCACACGACTGATTGACGTAATTGTTGGATAGCGTACTTTGCTTGCTCCTATATTAACCCCGTTAGCCCTGCAGTACCATAGATGTTGATCCTTCTCCATCCGCCGCGTCAATCACATGACGATGCCCTTATCTTCCTCCATCTCTCTCTGCTCCCTCTCCGCTCCACCTCATCCATCACCAACTCCCATCTCTTTTCATCCCACAGGCACGCCCACATGCTCCCTTCGTCTCCATGACATTGCATGTGCCTACTCAGTTCCGATGCTTCCCCTCGGGATAGCGGCATACATCACGATCGGAAACCCCGGGGCGAACTATTCACCAGCCAGACTCGGTTTGTTACGAAGCCAACTCGAAAGTGACAAGACCGAGCCGATTCTCCACCTCCCTCAGCGGACGAACACTATGCTTCCGACCAGATATCTTTCATGTGCCTGTCGGGCAAACCCGGACGCATCAACACCATGACTGCGCATGTGGATCTTCCAGCTTTGTACCAGGGGATTTGCGACGAAGTGAGACAAGGTCAATGGAAAGGGGAATATCCCGAGGAATCGAGTCTCACCTACCTCACCTTCCTCGGAACCTTATCGCAGACTTCCGGTTCCGGCCTATCCATCCTCGCCGAGAAATGATATCATGATGTGCTCAGCACCTGCCCTGAGTCCGAGTATGCATCGCATCACATATCTAAATCTCCGGTTCTGGAGGCCAATTCTATCCCAGAGAAAAAGCTCCAGCTACACTGACCGAGCCCCCGCCAAATCACACCATCCATGGCACAATGAGACTCCCTCCAGCCACCACCCTCGCTCGCAAGCGCCCATCTTCTCTTTTCGCTTCAACCACGAAGGTTATCACCACCAGCAGACCCCTCGCAACTCAGATCAACCACTCGACTGCTTTCCACGAAGACCATGACAAAGAACGAGTCGTCATCCTTGGCTCTGGCTGGGGTGGCTACAACCTATCCCGCCAGCTCTCCCCGGACAAATACAATCCCATCATCATCTCCCCGCGCTCATACTTCGTCTTCACTCCTCTCCTCACAGACGCCGCCGGCGGCTCCCTCGATTTCTCCCACATCGTTGAGCCCATCCGCGATCGCTCCTCGAAAGTCGATTTCATCCAAGCCGCAGCGCGGTCCGTCAACTTCGCCGAGAAAACCATCACCTGCGAAGCCACGGTCGTGAAAAGCGGCGTGACCGAGACGCCCCGATCCAGCGAGGACGAAGAATTCCAATCCCACTCAACCCAATCCAGCGCTGCCCAACGGCCTTGGGAAACCGGTCAAACCTTCACCATCCCCTACAACAAACTTGTCATCGCCGTCGGCACAGTCTCCAAAACCTTCAACACGCCCGGCGTTCGCGAGAATGCTTTTTTCTTCAAAGACATTGGCGATGCGCGCAAAGTCCGCCGTCGAATAAGAGAATGCTTCGAACTCGCCGTCTTACCCACCACCTCTCCTGAACTCCGAAACCATCTCCTCCACTTCGCCATCGTCGGCGCCGGTCCAACAGGGACCGAGCTCGCCGCTTCCTTACGAGACTTCATCACCAAGGATCTCATCGACCTCTACCCAGCCCTAAAAGGCATCCCACGAATCAGTCTCTACGACATCGCCCCAAAAGTCCTGTCCATGTTCGACGAAAAACTCTCCAAATACGCAATGGACACCATGCGCAAAGAAGGCATCGATATCAAAACCGCCCACCACGTCAAGAGTCTCCGATGGGGCGAACCCGGCGCCAGTCCCCCCTACGAAATGGACCCCAAACGCTGCCTCACCCTCTCCACAGAAGAAGAAGGCGAAGTTGGCGTCGGAATGTGTGTCTGGGCTACTGGCAACGCAATGAACAAGTTTATCCGTGACTCCCTCACAACCCTCGACACTTTACCCACAAACTCTGTCCTTCTCAACAATCCCCAAGGGAACCCACCCCCAACCCCACCCTCCAATACCACCTGGCACGTCAAAAAACACCCTAAAACCGGCGCCCTTCTCGTTGACGGACACCTCCGCGTCCAACTCCAAACCGAGCCTGAGTCCACCTCCAACAACACCACCGCAACCCTCCGCGACGTCTTCGCCCTAGGCGACAACGCGATGCCCGAAACCGGGGCCCCGCCAGCAACCGCACAGGCTACATTCCAAGAAGCGAAATGGCTCGCTGCGAGATTGAATAAAGGGGACTTTGGCAGTGCGCCTCCATTCTCGTTTTTAAATCTAGGCACGCTCGCCTATATCGGGGATGCGAAGGCGTTGATGCAGATCCCCCATCAGGGGGGGAGCAAGGGATCGGGATATCTGCCTGAGGGATTGACGGGGCGGATGGCGTGGGTGGTGTGGAACTCGGCGTATTTGACCATGAGTATCAGTTGGAGGAATAAGTTGAGGGTTGGGTTTAGGTGGATGTTGAATCGGATGTTTGGGAGGGATGTTTCGAGGTATTGAATTTTTGATTCGTGGCGTATGGATTTAGATATGTGGTATCTTTATAATAGACAGATAGATGATGGTGGCTATGTTATGGGTGTGTATATGCACAGCAGCTACAGTAGTTACTGGGAAGGGGGAGGGGCTATAGCTTGGCTGTCTCGGTTTGCTTGGTTGACTCGGATCGGATCGCCTTGTCGATGATCTGCATCGCCCGGTAGAGATCATAATCGTGCTGCTTGGGTGTGATGACCTGCACGCTCAGCGGCGAGTCCAGGTACACACGTCTGTCGACGGTGGTCTCGGTCCCTGATTCTTCAAGTCAGCTTCACATATCTCAACAAGACTCTGATCTAGATGAATGCACATACACAGCCTGCGGTTCGCCTCATCCCATCTCCCCTTTACAGGGATCGTCATCTCCCTCCCAAGCTCGAGATCATCTTCTCGGACCGTCCGCACGGGCACTACCCCGGCCGGATAATCCAACAGCACCCACGACGAGGTATACCCGATGGCATTGTACCGGTCCATTTCAGGGACTGGGTGCGGTGCCACGGGATGGATGATCGCGTCAATTCGTCGTATCCTATCATCATCAGCGGCATTGAGCGTCCACATACGCAACATCTCTCTCTCCAGCCGCGCCCGTTGCATTTGCAATTCCCCCAATTCGGACACCGTGATCTCCTTTCTCCGTCCCATCCGGCCCTTCAACCAGGGTGTAAGCGGTTCACCCGTTTTCTCAAGCAGATCCATCATGTGCCCGCCCCCGTCAATCCCCATCAATTTGTTCGCAAGGCCTTGGCACTTCGTAAGAGCCGGCGGCACGGGAACCTCCACGATTTCTACGTCTGAGGTACAGCGCAGGATTCGCGACACTTCATCCAAGACTTTGGTGATAGGAGGAAGAGGTTCCACGATTCCATCGGAGCGGAGGACACCGATTCTCAATTTCGGGGTTGATAAGGGTGGTGATGGTCCCCATGTACCAGGAATGCAATCTTCTCCGAATAATTCCGCCCGGGGCACGATCTCCCCCATCACGAATCCTATGTCCTCCACTGACCGAGCCAGTGGCCCTGCAACGGGTTGCAGCCCGATCCGTCCTTTGGCAGGGATATGTCCTGCGTCCTGCTGTCCGCCGTACGGTAGACGGCCTTGGCTGGGCTTGAAGCCGTAGAGACCCGTGCACATTGGGGGAATGCGCACGCTGCCGCCGATGTCGGTGCCGAAGCCAATCATGGAGCCGCGGAGGGCGAGGAGGGCGGCTTCGCCGCCGGTGCTGCCGCCGACGGTGAGACGGTGGTTGAGGGGGTTGAGGGTGCGGCCGAAGAGGTGGTTACAGGTGTCGAGAGTGCCGACGGTTTGCGGGACATTGGTTTTGGTGATGATAATGGCGCCGAGGGACTGGAGGAGAGTCACGAGGGAGGCATCTTGTGTGGCCGGGCAGAAGGCCAGAGCGGCGAGGCCACTGGTGGAGTCGGTGTGGGCGATGTGGAAGGTGTCCTTGATGGAGATGGGAAGGCCGTGGAGAAGGCCAATGGGACGGGAGGTGGATTGGAGGTGGGTGTCAAGGGCGCGGGCGCGATCGAGCGCTTGAGTGAAGAGTGGTTCAGTGAGACAACGGGTGAGTTGATGAGCGATTGCGGCGCGCTGGGGGGAAGGAATGGGATTAGTGGTTGAGTAGGGTGGAAGGGGTCGATGAGGAAGAGACCTTGCAGAATGCGCGGGTGACTTCCTCGGAGGTGAGATGTTGGGAGTGGATTTCAGCGAGGAGTGCGCGGACGTTGTAGTCTTCGGTGATGTGGAATTCATGGGAAGTGAGCAGGCCACAGGTTCGGGGAATGGCAGTGACGTTGATGCTCTTGTAGGCGGAGGTCTGAGTGATGGACTCGGCGGGCGAGAGCATCCCCGCGGGGATCTGCGAGGCGTCCAGACGCCATTCGGAGGGGATGAGAGACTCCAGGTGCTGTTGCTTGCGGGCTGCAATGGATTGGTAGTCGGACATGATGATTCTGGAGTTTGAGGAGTTTGAGGTGAAGTGGAGGAGAGATGAAGGGGAGAGGGGAAGAGGGGGAGGTGATACCAGGGGAATGCGGAGAAGAACTCCGGCCCGCAACCGAGGTTAAATCGTCTCCTCTGCCCGCACCAATGCAGATGTGCATCTGGAGGATTGGATTGGTAATCTTTTATGTAAGATCCAAGTGATGACTACGGCGGACGATTAGCCGCCATAAGGAAAAAACGTGTTTTTGTGTTTTGACCTTTGACCGCCTTGATCACCGCCTGCCAATCTTCCACTGCCTTTCATTCTGAATCTACGCAGGTTGAATCTACGCAGGCAGGTCCAATCTACGCAGGTCCAATCTACGCAGGCAAATAAGGATATCAGATCTACACGGGTAGGTCGTATTTTATGATGTCATAGAATTAGGTAACCTATGTCCGGACAGCCGGTTGGTCGGTAGGCGAGCGCGTCACGTGTCTCGTCACGTTGGCCACTGTGTTGTTGTCCTTTTCATCCCGCGTAGCAGAAGTCTCCTAGCTAGAAAACCAATATCACTCGTTTTCTTCGGCTTCGTGTCCTAACAACCTATCTCTTTATAATCAAATACGAGCTATCCGAACATACCCGGTTTAGATATCTAAAACCTGCCTGCCTGCCTGCCTACGTAGCTTTGACCTGCGTAGCTTTGACCTGCGTAGATTTGACCTGCGTGCGTAGACTTGACCTGCGTAGATTGGACCTGCGTAGATTAGGCAAGTTGAATCTGCCGGCAGAATGAGAGAGTAAATCATGAACTGTAAAATTCAAAAACACCAAAACGCGTTTTTTCCTTATGGTGGCTATCGTTCGCCGTATTACGTGATGACTGTGGAGAAGGCTTGCAGACTCTAATACATGTTTCGATACAGTATCATTCTAGTACTGCAAACATCTATACCCTTTATACAGAAAGGTCCCAAATTAGCTATATAATCCCATAATATACGACATATAGCGCCAAACCGTAAGATAATATGGTGTCAGCTGTAATTAATGGCCTGGCTCGTATGAGTAATCCGGCGGGGTTGGCTTGATGCTTGAACGCCTTCAACACCATTTAAAGTGGTCGCAAGCACCGGTGCCTCTCAGATCTTGCAATAATCTGTTGAAATAGCACCTTTCTGTTCCTATCAACAAGAAAAAAGGAGCTTTTACTGTTGAAATCTCGGGAAGTCCGCTAATTTAATCTTCCTGTATCAATCCCAACTATCCACCCTCTATTCTATACCCCCCTCCCTCACAAGATGACCCAAAACAAGGCTGCCTGGATTCCAGATCCTACTGCGCATCCATTCCGCATCCAAGATGCCCCATATCCCATCCCAGGACCCGGAGAAATCGTGATTAAGAATGCTGCTGTTTCTATTGTACGATCAAACCACCAATTCCATCATCAATATCAGTATCAGCTAATTTCCTTTTCCCCGTAGAATCCCGCTGACTGGAAAATCCAGTACGATTGAACTTCCTACCCCCTCACACAGCATCCAAGTTTTGATCTCATGGTTCCCACAGGACATACGGTGCTCCCTGGCTAGGAAAGTGGCCCTTCATTCTGGGCACCGATGTCGCCGGAGTGGTGGTCAATGTCGGCCCGGGTGTGACCCGCTTCACCAACGGCCAGCGAGTCGTCGCGTAAGTACTACATATACTGTGGCCGATTTCAATCGCATGGAAATATATCATATGCTTATTACTGTTATAGGTATTGCCACTGTCTCGGGACAGGGAATCCTGCCAATTCCGGATTCCAGTTATACACCTTGGTGAAGGACACCACGGTAGCAGGAATCCCCGACTCGATTACCTTTGAACAAGCCGCGGTGCTACCGCAGGCTATTTCGACTGCTGCGGCAGGCCTATTCCTCAAAGAAAGCCTCGATCTTCCCATACCCTCTGCTAGTGCTGGGGTGGTGAAGCCGACAGGAAAAAAGTCGATTCTTATCTGGGGTGGTGCGTCCTCGGTGGGCGCAACAGCTATTCAGTTCGCAGATGCAGTAGGTCTAACAGTCATCACGACTGCATCGGCGCATAACCATGAGTTGGTCAAGTCTCTAGGCGCAAGTGCGGTTTTTGATTATAAGTCGTCTACTGTTGTTGAGGATCTGGCTAGTGCGCTCACCGATACGGACCTGGTTGGCGTCTTTGATGCGATTTCTGAACCTTCGAGTTTTGAATTGGTGCGTGCTATTCTGGATCAGTTGAATGTGGATGTTAGGACTATTTGTGTTTCGCCATATGATAAACCTACGGAACGATTTGCTCCGATATTTAGTAAGTTTCTTGTGGTTTCACTCATCTTCAGTATCTATCTACATGTGACTGACCGCTTCCCTTTTTCTCCTTATTTAGTCAGTTCCAATTTCCTAACCTGTGACTCCAACAAATATGTCGCCGACGGTATTTGGAGAGACTTTGTCTCAGAAGCCCTGGAGAATAAACGCCTTAAACCAAAGCCAGACCCTGAGGTTGTTGGGAAAGCACTGGAAGATATCCAGGATGGTGTGGATGTTCTAAAGAAAGGCGTCTCGGCTAAAAAGCTTGTTGTCACTCTGTGATAATCAAGGTGCCAATCCATACATAGTCGTTCAAGGTTATCCTGCGCTGCCTAAATTCGGTACTGGCACGTTCGGAATTCCCGTCGGTAATATGGTGAAATGATACTTCGTCCTGATTATTCCCCATGTATGTGACAGTATAGCGTAAGCAGGCAGTTGCTTTTTGAAGAGCTCTTCTAATCTGTAGATTTACACATTGATAAGACGCAGTGTGATATTTGGTAGAAAATTAGAGTGCGTCTATGCATATTAATCAACACTTAGGGAAAGAGTAGATGAGTAATTATAACGAGTCATTCTTCAGGAGGGTCTTCGAAGAAGATTACTACCACCGTCCTCACTCGCTGTGTTGCCATCCATCGCCGGACCAGTCCCTGGACTTAAAAGTTTGTCCCATGTATCACAATCAATCCCCATCCTCGTCTTCCGAGCTCTGAGTCTCAATTCGATGATGTTTCGATGATGCTTGGAAGATGTCCCTCTTTTCCGGCTGGCTTCAAAGGCAGCTATCCGATCGACGAAGACTCCTTCGCGGGTGGCGCTTCTTTCGCCTTTGAAAGGACAGGTATACTTATCATCGAACCATCTCTTTGTACCGCCTTCCGTACGATATCCCCATCGGGTTTGATCTCTGCCCCTCGGGGCCTGTAGAAAGAGATTTTTGGGTTGAATTTTCGGGTGATTGTTCGATAATCGCCTTGAAGTATCTCCCATCATTTGAATCCTGTGCGAGGAATTGTAGTAGTGATCCACGCCAACCCGCTGTTGTTGGATAAGGGACATTTGGGTCCTCAAGTCTCCCAACAACCTGGACCCTTGAGTCGATCATCTCGACGCCTGTGTAATACCTAAGGTTGCCATGACAGGTGCAGTCGTGGTTCAATGGCATCGCGAATAAGTCCACTTTAAACTGCAGCAGAGATAAAAATGATTTGATATCGAGCTCTCATGAACAAAGAACACTGCAAGTTGGCAGTCCTGATGTAGTGACACCCCAAGGCCCCTTGAACACCCAGGACCTTCTGAGCTATATAGTCCTCAATGGTTGTGCTTGCGTTTTTAGGCGGAGTCGTTTGTGCACAAGACCTCCTCAATTTTGTCTGCGAGGCGCTCTTTCATCCCTGAGATAGGAAGAGCTTGTGATTTGGTGGCAATTCTCTTCGGTCGTCTCCGAAGAGCGCTGATGGCCTTGCAATAAGCAAGCATAGGCCAATGATTGTCGGTCCAAGTATAGTAGTGTGATTGAGCTGCAATCAACATGAGCAACCTTGGCCTTCGTAGAAGTAAGCATAGCGTTGGATCCCTCATCGCATGTCCAGATCCATTCATTCCATCCAACATCGTATCCTCGCCAAGCCTCGACCAATCTACTGTCATCCACCTATATTCTCCCCAGTTCTTCCACCACAGCTACTTCCTCCGTGATAACTGGCGATATCCGCCACCGGTGCCGTTGATGAACGAGACAAATCTAACTTGGAATACTAGAAGCGAACTTGACGGCGCCACAGAACCCAAATGTTCACGCACTTGATTCCATCCCGATGGGCCCCATTGTGGCCCTTTTGGCACATGAAGTTGACCCTGCGGGAGGCATATCTTATTATGAGTATGATACCTGCCAGTGTGCCGTATTGGCTGGGCTAGGCTTCAATCAAGCGCAAACCTTGAGGAATAGACCTTAGTCGGGCATAAGAATTTCCGTAGAATGAATCATCGCTGACCCATGCACTCAGTTTGGTTTTGCTGCAACATATTCTGATGAAAACTTTGGCACTGCTGGACATCTTGCACCAAGAGAATTGCTCTGAAGGGAGATATGAGAGAACTTACACCCTTCACAGGCGGATCAGCACTTGCAACCAGAACAGGGGAGGGGGGGAACATACCCTTTAGCAGGCTTCACAAGGATATCTTGATGTTCCCAAACATGGGCTGCATCAATCACACTTCCAGCCTTGGGTCAATCTCGTAATTCATCACACCAACTGATTCCACATCATCTCCTTGAAGGAACTGTTCCTCACTGTCACCCGCCATCATCTTTCCGAAATCCTTTTCCACGGCCACTTGCTTTAGCCTCTCACAAGGTCATTGATCTAATAGTCGCTGAAAGTAATCAATCTGACTAACCCCTCAAGAAAACTGACTGTGGCACGAGAATCGTAGCCTTGGAGTCGAGTACGCATTGCCAGTCAGAAAAAATGCAACCCCAAGCCAACAGTCCATATCCACCACGCCTCAAAGGTCGACATGTTGGATGATGTTTGGAGATAGATTTAGTAGGATGAGTTGCATGTAGTAAGTGACGTTAGCTCTTTCTGCCAAGTAACTTGTCTCTTCTTGCTGAGACAGGATAATTGCAGTCTCCTGGGCTGCACACGATATATTCGATGGAAGCATCTGCTGCTAGGATGCTTTTTCAACGACCTGAAAGACCCAACATGGATCTTATAAGACGAGTTAACCAGGTTTTTTCAAGCGACTCCCTCAAATTACACTGCCTCTCGAAGAGTCTCAACGGAAATCAGGCAGTGAATCTCTCTGGTGAACACAATTGGCCAGAACCACGCATTTTTATCCAGGAACAATCTTTGGCATGGTTGCTGCTTGCTTGTATCCCTACGGCATCAATCCCAGACCCAGAGTCGCTCCCAGAAATCGGTAAATGGCTAGATAGATATAAAAGGTGGACTTTGCTGGTGGTCATAATGTGTTTTACGGTCTGTGGTTGTTAATTAGTCTGATGCTTGAAGATTGCTGGTTGGTATTACCTCTTCGATTATTTCCAAGGGAAAAAATGGCGTCTTGGACTGCTGGAACTGGGTGGCCATTTTGTTGATAGATATGAGGATGCAGGCAACATCCTGGCAGATAATTCTGCTGTGCACGCCAGGGTCTTTTGCATTCTTCCATGACATGCAGAGTATACAATTCAACCGGGGCCTTGAAGCATCATTCGCGCTTTCACGGTTCCGCAGTACCTTTGTGACTCTGATGGTCAAGGTAGCCTTCCGGTCTCATATACCTCATGTTGATAATGTTCGAGGCGCTGGGCCGTGGAGAAAGATGCGGCCGTTTGCGAGTAATTCCAAGATCAGCCAATGAGGAAATAGAGCCTAGATCGCAATGATCTCCAAGGCATCCTCCCAAGACTAGGCGTAGGTGCGGAAGTTTCCGACAGAGTGACATTCTGCGTCTGCCGCCACCTTGGTGAGCCCTGCGATATGTCTGGTCATCTCTCTGTTTGGATGTGTGACAGTACGGGCACCGTTGTTTGCCAGTGGGAAATGGGAAAGGTGAGGACCAGTCCACGGGCGAGTACCGTTCGATAGTTATAGTCGTACTGTCGCCAATTCCCCACAATCGTAAACCACTATGGTGTGTTGATCTGTCACCAGCATGTCAGTTCCACTGCCAGCTGTCAACTCTATAATTTAATTTAGCTCACCTCGAAACCGGATCCAGGTGGGGATAAGACCACAGCAACTTCACCTCCCTCCACCTTCCTGAAGGCCATGCTCTGTCTAGCATCCTGGCGTCCACCAGCCCAGCGCCATGATATTTTGGGGAGAGCTAGGAAATCTCTGTGTTGTTGATGTTCGATTTTTCGGGAGGGTTTGTGAACGATCGAGTGGCGTCCTGGAAGCTAGCACAAGACCTCGGGTTCGGATCATAAATATATACGACTCGGATAAGAAATGACCATGTCGACGGACTCAGGAGACGACATTTCTCAAGTTCTCACTCCTTTCCAGGTACGCAATTTCATACGTACCGTATCTCAAGAGCCTTAGCAAGCCCACCATGGCTTACAAAGCCTGGACCCGTTTCTGGAAACCTCATAGTAAACTAACGAGCTCGCGTTACCAGCAGATACTGTTCGAATGGGAGATAATCGCTTCGGACGGCCTGTAAATGTTCTTTGCTGACGTATGCATGGGAAATCCGCATACGTGTTCCATGCATGGTGATTAGCCATCCAGGGCAAGACCTTATGCCATTCAGGTAGGCTGAATCTCAGGATGAAAAAACACATCATCAGGCATCGATGAACGGCTCTTAGATGATATATACGATGAGGAACATTTCCAGTGGGCCTTCTTTCTTTGCCTGGCATAATATACTAATATGTATATATATATTTATAGGGGGGGAGAGAGATAGAAAGAAAGAAAGAAAGAGAGAGAGGAGGGGTGGAGGAGGGGAGACGGAGAGGAAAAGACGAAGAGAGATAGAAAGCGAAGCAGAGAGAAGACACAAAAGTGGGGGGTATTGGCGGTACTTATGCCCACGGGGCGAGGACTCCAGTGGGGACCTGAGGCCAGCGATGAGAGAACATCTCAGGCTGCCAAGTGTCGCCTGGTGGCAAACATCACAAGAGACCAACCAACCAGATGCAGATGCTGCAACTGTCTGTGTGACCCCGAGTGCCAACCGCAGTCGATGCCATGGTCCAAGCACCAGTTACAGTCGCCCCGTCAAATGCGTGCCTCCGTCGATTGGAATGACTGCTCCATTCAAATGGCTGCCTGCCCGGCTGGCCAGAAATACTACGACTCCCGCAAGATCCTCCTGCCGCCCCAGCCTCCGATTGGGCGACTTGCTCTCCAGGTATTTCCTCCCTCCCTGAATCTCAATCAGCCCATTCGCCAGCTTCGACGGAAAGAGCCCAGGCGCAATGGCGTTGCACAGAATATGCTTAGGACCCAGTTCTACCGCCAGGTTTCGTACCAGATGCATCACGGCCGCCTTAGAGGCAGAGTAACTGAAGGTGGCATTGGCACCTAAGCTACCCAACGTGATGCCCGCGATTGACCCTGTCACAATGACTCGTGCGGGGTCATCGCGTGTAGCCCGTGCAGTCAGCAGCGGCGTGAATTTCTGGATAGTATAGAATACGCTCTTCACATTCAGGTCCATGACCTTGCTGAATTTATCGGCGGGGTAGGAGTCATATTTCTCGCCCCAGGTGGCCCCGGCGTTAGCGAAGAGGATGTCGACATGCGAGGTCGTCTTGGTGACTTCAGCAACGAGACGGTCTAGTTTGTCGAGATCCGAATTGTCGGCTGGAACGGCGATAGCGGTTGCATGGGGGGATTTGTTGGGGAGAGCGTTCAGGGCTGCAACGGCTTCGGCGCAGGCGGACGACTTGCGAGAGGTAATGTAGACTTTGGAACAGCCTGATTGGAGGAGCCTGAGATTATGAGGGTGTCAATGTTTCCATCGTATCCAGGTTGGCTCGGGGTGCAACGGATTCTGTCCTACCCACTTGCAGCGTGCAGTCCGAGTCCGCGAGAGCCACCGGTGACGAGGGCGACTTTACCCTCCAGGGAGAAGATGGAGGGGAAGTTGTTCAGCTGAACTTGCTCGGAGGCAGACATGATGAATGTATGACGGGACTGAGACCATGGCTATTGCTGTGGAGACCGATCTATATCTACTGTAATTCTGTTTGTTGCAGTCCATGGATAGACCGAGGTTGAATCCTACCCCGCATTGGCATGTATGGCTCTTACGACCATCTTCGGAGTACGGTATTGTCAATAAGTACCGTTGGTTTTGTACTAGCTGCTCGTGGCTAGCCCGGTCGGAGAAAGTATGAGATCTCCAGGCCACTGATTGGCCGTGGCGGGACACCTTGATTCGTCCCATCCAAGGGTTGCCAAACAGTGGAAGTGCTATCCTTCCATTCCAGTGCAGTTACACACGCCTCTGGGTCGGAGATATTCCCGGTGTTATGACTAGTACCTCTCCGTGAGATCATCTCTTGAAGTCTCCATCCACCAGCTGGTGGTACACCCACCAATGACCGGGCTCGAAACCTGCTCAATCGTGCGCAAGGTCCCCATCGGACAATCACCACCCATCAGGATTGGCGGGATAGAGTACCTTGTAGGACAATAGTGCCTCAATATGTCATGATCCAGTGCCATTTTTACCCCTCTTCTGCTCTTTTTTTACCCTCTTCATCATCTTCTTCATCACTCCCTATCGTCGACATTACCACCATTCCCAGTCAAAGAAATACAAGTTCAACATAAGCAGTCAACATGGCCCCTATTCACACCCTCCCACCTCTCCCATACGACTACGATGTAAGTTCAACCCCTAACAAGTCATTCCATAGCTCACAACAAAAAAGGCCCTCGAGCCCATCATCTCGAAAGAGATCATGGAACTCCACCACAAAAAGCACCACCAAGCCTACGTGACCAACCTGAATGCCGCCCTCGCCGCAGAAGCCTCCGCCCTCGACAGCAATGACCTCACCCAGATTATCAGCATCCAGCAGAAGCTCAAATTCAACGGTGGTGGTCACATCAACCACTCTCTGTTCTGGAAGAACCTAGCTCCATATGACTCCCCAGCTACGAAGTTGGACCGGTCAGCACCGACTCTCAAGGCTGCGATTGAAAAACAGTGGGGGTCGGTCAAAAAGTTCACCGATGCTTTTGAGGCCGTGCTTCTAGGAATACAAGGAAGTGGATGGGGCTGGCTGGTGAGTAAGGAGAAGAAGGGGTACTTGGAGCTCGAGACTACGAAGGATCAGGACCCAGTGATGGATTCCATTCCAGTGTTTGGGGTAGATATGTGGGAGCATGCTTATTACTTGCAGGCGAGTCTCCTTTCTTCGCCTATGAGTGGAAATATGCTGACATATACGTTGTAGTATCTAAATAATAAAGCCAGCTACGCCCAAAACATCTGGAAGGTGATCAACTGGGAAGAGGCGGAGCATCGGTATGTGCATGGCGTGGAGGATTCGATTGATTTGAAGCTGTAACCCATCTTTAGACTTTGTTCGTGATGTATTTATCCATCACCGTAACATATATCTGTCGACTGAACACAATGTATACTCGATTAATTTCCATTCCATCCTGATACCCATCCCAACACTCAAATAACGCCATCATAAACCCTCTATCCCACAAATAAACCCAAATCCAACCCAGAATTCAAGAAAGAATTAATTATACCCTACAATCCCCCTCCCCATATCAACCTCCCCGTCCCCAAAAAGACTAACCCTCACCAACCTCCCCACAATCCCCCTTTCCGAAACCCCCAACTCCAATCTCTCAGGCAATATCACCTCAACTTCCTCATTCCCTTCCCCCTTTCCTCCCGTCTGAATCCCCGGAAACGGCACCCTAAAGTCATACAACGGAGGACTCGTGATAGGTGCTGTGAGGTCTCCGTACTTTCTATCTACAATGTTAGCTCTTCGGACATTGAGCAAAGTAACAAAGGTAATGAAAAAAAATGAAGGGATGTAGCTGGGAGACACATACTCAATTCGCACATTCACACCTTTACTTCCCCGAAACAGAGTTAAGGTTTGAGGAGAGGCGATGCGGAAGAGGGCTTTTGTTTTGCTTTCGTTGGGGGTTGTATTATTGGTGGTCGTGGTGGTAATATCTTGGAAGGAGAGAGAGTAGGATGTGCATGGTTCCCTCTCTGTATACTCTAAAGATGAAGAAGAAGAAGATAATGATGATGCAGAAGACGTCGAAGAAGATGAATAAGGAAAAATAACAGCGATGAGGTTCCCAGAACTGGGTCGTGAAGGTCCACACATTTTCTTCTTGCTCTTGTCTTTCTCTTATTTTGATGTGTCTTTCTTTTCTGTTGACAGTGGTAGTGGCAGTATACAGTTGTTTTTTGCTTGAGAACCTAAGAAAGACTTGTGTGAAATTATTGAGTGGGAGTAAAATTAGAAGTGTAGAATTAGAGATACTCCTCCATTTCTCTACGTGCTAGATATCAACAGTCCCCAAGGTACATACAGGCAAGCTCCCAAGGTACTGGCATGTTGGTGACGGAGGAAGATGCTCAAATCTGCGCAAATCAGGGCGGGTGGGGCCGGGAACAGAGTAGAGGGTGGGGCGGAAGTGGAGATGGTTGGTATGTATGTCAGTGATCAGTATGAGGGGGTTTGCGGGGGTTTATTTTGTGGTGTCATGGTGAATAGTATACATCTATTGATTGGGGATTGAAATGGGAATGATCACTGGACTGGTTTGAGGTGCACTGGCACTTGGTCCCCCCTACGAAATGAGTGTCTTCCCTGGAATGGAAAATTGGCAAGATAGAGCAGCGCTGCTCCACTGACTATATTATACTCTAACGATACCCTAAATATATGCTCTAGTCTCTAACAATACTCCTTATGTACTCACCCGCACTGGGTGCGCCTCCGTGTTCAGCACAAACTTGTTCCCACCGCCCGTCTGCACCTGCCACTCTGCCTCCTCGGAGAACGCCAGGTACGAGTATTTCATCACCTCCGCAAACAGGAAGCTCTCCTGGTTGTCGTACCGACTGCCTCCATTCTCCGCGTTGACGTCCGTCAGGCCCGCGAATCCCGAGCCCGTGCGGCAATAGTTGCCGATCGCGCTGAACGCGCTCCAGATCCATTCGCGGTACTGTATTCGTCAGATACTTCCTGCTCAAAGTAGACAGATATGGCTTACTGTTTCGTTCTTGGTAACTCTCCAGGCATAGTAAAAGCTCTCGATAACTTCCGGTCGCAGGATATACGCACCACTGGTGATGTAAAACCCGGCCTGTTCGTAGAGAGTCTGCTGGCTTGCCGGGATGGAGCTCGTATCCCAGCTGAACGTCTCCGGTCCAATTCCCGTCAACGTCGAGTTGTATGTATCATGACACCCATTCACCAGGGCCAGGCCAAAATCAATGAAATCGGACCGGTCTAAGACTGCTCCTCCCAGCAGGAAGCTCCCTCCATCGAAGCAAGTCAGATGCTGCGAGCTCAGGCCATAGTTGCCGTCATTGTAAGAGGCCAGGAAGGTCAGGTCCGGGCGGGACGACGGGTGTGACGCCAGGTGCTGCATAGTTGACTGCGCCGCCGCCACCCAGCGGTCCTTGTAGAGGCCGAACCGCTTGGGGTCGTACACGTACATCTTGATCAGATACTCATAGTAGGAATCATCACCGCCGTTCCAGCTCACCTGCCCATCCGCGAACTGACCAGTTGCGATGTTGATGTTGCTTCCCACCAGGCCCGGGAACGGCTCCGCTGAACTGGGCTGCGGGTTAAGGAGATAAGACTCGGCCTTCTGGCTCAGGTTGCCATACGTGGGATCGCCCGTCAGATCAGAAAGGCGCGTCCACTCTAGCGCCAGTGTACCAGTCACAGCAAGACCGTTGGTCGTGGCTCCGTCGTTTCCCCCAGATGTGATGTTAAGGTTGTTATACGGAACGCCAGAGGGCGTGTCGAAGGCGAATTTGAGAACATCTCCAAGGTTCTTCGACTGGGTCAAAAGAATGTCGACCTTGGATGAGTCCTGCACCAGGTCCGATGCAGGGCCCTTCAACAGATCGTAGCCGGACAACATACCACCCAGATAGCGGATGGTAGTCTCGAACAAGCTCACGGTGCTGTCTGTCTTGGAGTAGTCAATCGTGGCCACGTGGTCCAAAATCTTGTTGACGATGGTTGCATTGCGCATGATCACTGCAGTGGAAAGTGCATCCACAGCAGACGCACCCCATCCGTTCCTGGAGTCGCCATAGCCGTTTGAGACGGGGTGCAGCTCGTCATGCGGAAAGGCATATTGGAGGTAGCCATCCCAGGCGTGCGAGAAGGCGGCCTTGACGGCATCTGCGCGAGACTGGGAGTCGTCGGCCTCACTCCGCAGGACTGGCTGAGCGGACCTAAATTGAGGATGAGCTGTACAAGGGCTGACGATGGCCAAGGCCGTCAGGGACAGGGAAAGCGAGGACAAATGCATGATACAGAGAAAAGAGTGACACAAGGAACCGAGCGAGCAGACCAGGAATAAAAGCCGGCCTTGCACAGACACGAAAACAAATCAAAGAATGGAAGCCGGTAAACAGGCGGACAGATCGGGTATAAATAAGGCGATCGACCGGCTAAAAGAATGCGGAGAAGTGATCGTGGATGGATTCAGGAGGAGTTATGCATCCTGGAGGGGGAAGAGTGGGCCATGACCTGACCCCATCCAGCAGCTACCCAACTGAATCGCTCATCACAGGAGGGACTGGCTGTAGCACTCCGTCCAGTGTACATGAGGTGACGGCACAGGGGAAGGCCCCTCCGGCGCGGAGCTGGCACAGGGGTTGCCTAATCGAGTAACGCACAGGCAGTCCCTGGTTCCTGGTGGGGCCAAGCCCGAGCCCGCTAGCTGCTTCAGGCCCACCCCCGCCGATCTGAGGCTCCGATTGGAGGCCGGCCCTGCAGGATCCTGCAAGGGTGGATTCCGCTGCGGTCCCCGGCTGGTATTTGTGACGGGTCGGTACCTGACCCTGGCTGTCCTTGCAGGCGAGCAGCGAGGTACTCCGGGCTCACTACATACCCACCAGGTACCTCAGGAGGAACTTAACTTAGGCCTGGGCTCGGCGTCGTGCAACCGTCACATCGAGAGCGAGCCCCGAGGTAGGGCCTTTCGTCGAGATCATTCGGGCAGGTCAGACCGCAGGGCAGATGATGAGGGCGGGCAGATGATCTCGCTTCTGGATCAACGGGCCAAGAAAGCAATCCAGCGATGTTCACACACTAGGGGTAAATAGGTTCCAGCAGGAAAGTCAAAAGTGATCGACTGGACTGGAAATATTTCTGGGGATTCCCGATCCAGTTAGAGTGACGCCAGTCGCGGGACCCTTTATCCACACGGTTTTGCCCTACTCACGAGGGCCTCCTCGAAAAAGGGTGTCCTGACAGCCTGAGAACTCATGACGGCCTCTTTCAGGCATCACCTCTTTGCTGTGCTGCGCTGTGCTATTAAAGTGATCGCCGAATCCAAATTCTACCTATAAACCCAATTCACAGGCGGCGAAAACAATAGGTTCACGCTTGCAAGTGATCCGGCACAATTTCAATGAAAGACGATGGGTCCGGTCAAATAGTTTCGGGATATATTTCCGTTTCTTATCACTGATGGTCAGCAAATGTCTCTCACTGTGTGGTGTTGAGAACGAAGGAGGTCGGCTCCTTTTCCTGGGACCAGGTGACTCAACTCAAGGGCATCATGGCCCTGAAATAACTGTCAGGCAGGTGGAAAGATGTTCTCTAGAGACATCCACCAAGGAATCCGGGTGGTACTTCGACCAAAGAGATCGGTTTGCGCTCTCTTCACCAGATCTAGTGTGAAGCAACACTGCTCCGTACATCCCTAACCCCCGTTATTCCGCAAAGCACGGTGACTAGTCACAATATCAGCCAGATCCTGTGAGGTGTCGCTCGCCACAAGACTGACAGAGGTTTGAGAGACAAACCTGTGTATCCACTGAGCAGTTGATGCATGGAATGAGAGCAAACATTTAATAATGTCTGGCGCACCGCGGAGAACCGTTATTGGGTATACTAGACGACTTTGTCCAGTACAGTCAGTCCTGTAGATCTGCTCAGAATTATAGACAACGCAGGGTAAAGAAATGTCATATATCATATTCTAGAAATGGTGAAAACCAAATGTATGTAGCAATGAGTATCTAGTAGAAGGAAAGTGTGATCACCAGTTTATTGAATGGTGGGAATCTAGTTCGGCGGATTTCATCCGTCAGCCCGATAGAACACAAGATCGGCACGGGGAATGCCGCATGCAATGAATGTTGTAGCCATTTCCGTCGATGTGACAGCACCATCGGAGAGTATCTGTCCATTCATAATGCATGATATCCTTTCAATGGCCGTGTGAGGTCATTCCAGAACACAGTGGCCTGTGAGATCCATCCACTCACTAGACGTGAGCTAAGGCAGAGGATGCCCGGAGATGTACGGAGATGTACGGAGTAGAAGATGAGATGAGGGGCACCCCGCAAGCAGGATCGGGAAACGTCAGCCACTCGACGGCAGGAGGAATAAAGGATCAAGCTCCAGGGACTTCGGAGTCAGGGACACGTCCAGACCAATTGTACTAAGCACCTGTCATCCATGGACGAGGGGTCCTGATCCAATCACTCCCCGCTGATTCACGGCAGGCGGTCAGAGGCTCCGATGGCGGGGCTGGAAGAAATTGCTGGCGGAATCTTTCTTTATCTCCCCGGTCCGCCCCGGACTGACTCACGACGATTTCTCATTTCTCCTGACCATTTATCTTCTCCCCCCCCGGTCTTGGGGACCTCATCTTCAACTCTGATCTCTTTTGCACCATCCTCTGCTTCATCTCCCTCCCCACTGCCCACCATGGCTACTCCCCTCCTCGTTTCCTACGACCCCGCCTCCCCCTCCTCCAGCCTCTCCCTCAAGCAGATCGCCTACTTCGGACGCGTCCTCATCAAGGCCTCAAGCCTCGCCCAGACTGAGGAATTCATCAAGCACAACTTCCGTCTCCTCGACGTCTATGTTGATGCTACCGCCATTTCCTCCTCCGGAGACCTCGTCGATATCCTCAATGCCGGCGCTGCCAAGATCTTCATCTCCCTCGATCAGCTGACTGCTCTGTCCGAGGAACAGTCTGTACCTTCGTCGCGACTCGTCGTATACACATCTGAGAGCCAGGTTGATGCCTTCCAGACCTGGGTGGGCCAGTCTACCGAGCGCAAGGATGCAGGCTTGTCGACCGACGCGTCTGCCGTCAAGGCCCTCGCCGAGAAGCTGGGCATGAACCTGGAAGCTCAGAACCTGTACCGCACATACTCGAGCACCCCCTCAGAGGAGGCTCTGAAGGACACTCTGAACCAGGGTGGTCTCAGCGTTGTGTCTGCCGACGCATTGACCTTCGAACACAAGGAACCCAACGGCAAGATCGTCGCCGCCTCTCTCATTGCCGCTCGTGCTGTCGCCGACCAGAGCAACGGACTCTACGCCACTACGGTGACTGATGAGCGTGGAACATGTCTGGGACTCGTGTGGAGCAACGATGAGAGCATCGCAGAGGCTCTTCGTACGGGCACCGGTGTCTACCAGAGCCGGAAGCGCGGTCTCTGGTACAAGGGCCAGTCGAGTGGTGACGTACAGGAGTTGATCCGTGTCGGCTTTGATTGCGACAGCGATTGCTTGGTCTTTGTTGTCAACCAGGTTGGCAGAGGTAAGTCATGACAGACACCCGTTAAGCTTCGTCTCGCTGACCCCATAGGTTTCTGTCACCTTGGAACCGCCAGCTGTTTCGGACCTTACAATGGCCTCGCCCGTCTTCAGAAGACCCTGCAAGCCCGCAAGGCCGATGCCCCCGCTGGCTCCTACACCGCCCGTCTTTTCAACGAGCCCAAGCTCACCCAGGCTAAGATCATGGAGGAGGCCGACGAGCTGTGCCGTGCGAACACTAAGGAAGAGATTGCCTTCGAGGCTGCGGATCTTCTCTACTTTGCTCTGACCCGCTGCGTTGCGGCCGGTGTCAGTCTCGAGGATGTGGAGAGGAACCTGGACCTTAAGAGCCTGAAGGTGAAGCGGAGAAAGGGCGATGCTAAGGGCCCATGGGCGGAGAAGGCTGGCCTGGCCGCCGCCGCTCCCGAATCGAAGCCCGCGGCCGAGCCTGCTCCGCCTGCTCAACCCACTCCCAAGGCTGACGAGACGATGCAGATGACTCGTGTCGTCACTGCTTTGACGCCCGTGGAAGTCGTCCAGGACTATCTCAAGCGTCCCTCCCAGAAGTCCAACGATGCGATCGTCGCTCTCGTTCGCCCCATCATCCAGGATGTCCGCGAGCAGGGTGATGCCGGCGTGCTTAAGTACACCCACAAGTTCGAGAAGGCGACCTCCTTGACGTCTCCTGTTATCCGCGCCCCGTTCCCGCCTGAGCTGATGAAGCTTACCCCAGAGACGCAGGAGGCCATTGATATCAGTATCTCCAACATTGCCAAGTTTCACAGCGCCCAGAAGGACAGCAACGATGGCCTGAAGGTGGAGACCATGCCGGGTGTGGTCTGCTCTCGTTTCTCGCGTCCCATCGAGCGCGTCGGTCTCTACATCCCCGGTGGTACTGCCGTTCTGCCGTCCACCGCTATGATGCTGGGTGTTCCCGCCATGGTGGCTGGCTGCAAGAAGCTCGTCTTTGCCTCTCCTCCCCGCGCGGACGGCAGCATCTCGCCTGAGATCGTCTACGTCGCACACAAGGTGGGAGCTGAAAGCATCGTGCTTGCTGGTGGTGCGCAGGCGGTCGCCGCGATGGCGTACGGCACTGAGAGCATCAGCAAGGTGGACAAGATTTTGGGTCCTGGCAACCAGTTTGTGACGGCCGCCAAGATGTTGGTCTCCAACGACACCTCCGCCGGTGTCAGCATTGACATGCCGGCTGGTCCTAGTGAGGTCCTGGTGATCGCAGACAAGGACGCTAACCCTGCGTTTGTGGCTTCCGATCTGCTCAGTCAGGCCGAGCACGGCGTGGACTCCCAGGTCATTCTCATCGCCATCGATTTGAACGAGCAGCAGCTTCAGGCCATCGAGAAGGAGGTCGACATCCAGGCCAAGGCTCTTCCCCGTGTGGACATCGTCAAGGGCTCTCTGGCTCACTCGGTCACTTTCGTCGTGCGCGATCTCGACGAGGCCATGGCTCTCAGCAACGACTATGCCCCGGAGCACTTGATCCTGCAGATCCAGGACGCCGAGGCGGCAGTTGCGCAGGTGCAGAATGCCGGTAGCGTGTTCATTGGAGAATGGACCCCGGAGAGTGTTGGCGATTACTCGGCTGGTGTCAACCACTCCTTGCGTAAGTTCTCCCGGTCCCAATTTGCGGATAAATGCTAACGATCACAGCGACCTACGGATACGCCAAGCAGTACTCAGGTGTGAACCTCGGGTCGTTCCTCAAGCACATCACCAGCTCGAACCTCACCGCGCAGGGACTGCTGGGATTGTCTCGCACGGTGGAGCAGTTGGCAGCAGTGGAGGGACTGGATGCGCACAAGCGGGCCGTGAGCATCCGCGTGGCGCACATGAAGCAGCAGGCATGATTTCGGTATCCAGCGGTTTACGATTCGACGCGGTATGTAATGAGCATAGCAATAAAAGGGTCTTGATGATCACTGTACATTAAATGGTATCTCGAACGCCACTCTAGTAGAATACACTGGAACTTTTCCCAACCGCAAGCCAACCCGATGCAACGAACCGCGAATCATCAATCATAGCCAGTGATTGAGGCAGTAAACACAAGTAAAGACGCAACACATCACCTCTTCCGCTCCCGGATCTTCCACTTGACCCCGTTCTTATTTGTGCCTCCGACCACGTTATCCATGCGTCCGCGCTGCCAATCCAGCTCGCGCTCTGCGGCCGTGATATCCTTGTACTGCTTCTGCAGCGACTTGAGCTTGTTGGCGCGCGACTCAGCAGCCCGTTTCTTCATCTTCCGGGCTCGGCGCGCCTCGACGAGGGCCTGTCGCTCGGCCTCCATCTGCTTGCGCGACTTCTTCTGCGCCTGCACCTTCCCAAAAGAATCATCCTCCCCGTCTGAATCGTCATTCTTTTCTTCCTCCTCCCGCAGCTTCTTCTTCTTCAACGTCCTCTGCTCCCTGCGATCATCCGCAAACACCAGCTTCTTCGACTTCTTGTCGGCCTCGTCCCCAAAGTCAAAGTCAAAGTCCATGTCATCCTCATCCATATCATCCTGCTCCCCCTTCTTCTCTCCTTCTCCGTCTAGAATCTCCTTCATCCCATCCTGCAACCGCACCTCCTCCTCCAACTTCTCCATCTGCCGTCTAATCCGCTCCCCCACTGTCCGCAAATACCCCGCATCCTGGGTCTTGAGCAGCTTGATCGCATCGTGACTGAGGCCTCGGGCGGCCGCGGAATCTCTCGCTCCGGAACCGTGCTTTCCCTGCCGGGCGGAGTTGCCCGACATCATACCGAAGGCGAATTCATCGGGGTTGCGGTCGCGGACCTTTTCTTGGAGACGCTTGATTTTCTCTTTCTTGGTGTTGTAGTCTTTGGCACGGAGGGAGTAGTCCTAGTTTAATCAGTATCTGTTGAGAGCAGCACATGAAAGAAATAAGGAGAGAGGAAGTACCTTGTGCTTCTCAAGGATACCCCATTTCTCGCGGCCTTCGAGCTGACCACGTTCGCGGTGGTTCCGCCGCTGAACGGCGTTGCGCATAGACGACATGGTGAGTGTATAATATTCCCCGTATTAGACTGGTTTCCGTGGATGAGAAAGACCAGTGATAATGTCGATGCTACGCGGAGAGGGACGAGGAGAAAGTCCAGTAAATTGAAAAGTCGGAGTCGGAGCCACTAAACCCGATTGAGTAGGCCCCAAGCAACTGCCTCGAACTTCTCTCCGCCGCCGGCATTCTGTGGGAAAGCTGTCCTGCCCCAGTCGCCAATTGCTGTCCGTGACGAGTAATAGCTTCCTGAGCTGGATTGATTGAGTCTGCTAATTGATGATGAATTGATCCCTGCTATCTCTTCTTTCCCCACGACATCACGACTCCGAGAGATCTCCCATCCGACTGGACACACCACACCACACCACCAACACTTCAGTTCCCTCCACACACCTACCTACCTACCTACCTACCTCTCTCATCTCACAACCGACCCACCTCAAGAGGAACAGAAAGATCTCAAAATGTCATCCCAAGAACCCCAACAATCCCAACCTCCCCGCAAAACCTACAACCTCCGCAACCCCCTCCCCCTCTCCGCCGCCCAAGAATCCGAAGTGAAGCAACTCTACTACAAGCGCGTTCGCTCGCTCTGCGCACCGGAAATCAAAGGTACTTCCCCACGTATATGTGCATCAAGACTTACACTAACGCGGACCCGTACAGCATTCGCCGAATGCGCCGTCAACCGAACCGTCACCGCGACATGGGTATGTCGGGAGCAACGACTAGCGATGAACGCGTGCATGGTTGCGCATGCGAAGCCAGAGGAAGAAGACCGGGCGCGGGAGGAATGGTTCTCGACGCATGAGGAGCGACGTCGCGCGAAGGAGGCGGAGGTCGCACGGGTGGAGAAACGGAGGGTGGAGGTCATTAAAATGATGAGGGAGGATGAGGAACGGAGGAAGAAGGCTGCTGCTGCTGCTGCTGGGGAGAAGGCTTAGATGGTTGGATGGGGTTGGCGTATATAGGTTTACCTTATTTTTCTTTACTTGTCTGTTATGTGGGAATTGGCGTTGTGAGTTTTTGTGTATGCATACGGCTATTGTATAGTAGTGAAGCGGTGATGTTGATGAAGCATCGGATAGATGAAAAGAAGGAAGGAAGCAAGAAAGAAGAAAGAATAGATTAAAATCTCCCGTCCACCGAGCCTGACCTGCGCCCAAACGCCTCCATGCAGTTGATACCATCATTCCATCTTCCAGCCAGATATTATCAAAGAAAAGATTCCTCCTGTCTAAACATCCGTCATATCTTTATCCCCATCACCATCACCATCCCCCTCCCCCATAGCCGTATCCTCTCCAAACACATCCTCCATCTTCCCATCCTCATCCTCATCCCCATCTCCCTCTCCCTCCCCATCCTCCCCCTTAACCCCCACCAACCCATTCTCCCTCCCCGCACCAACACCCCCTCCCCACCCTCTACCACCTCCTCCTCTTCTTCGCCCTCACTCTCCCACTCCGCTTTCATCCCCCACCCCAGACCCGTCAAGCAAAACCTCTCCGGCGGCAACCTCATCCCACCCATAACAACACTCTGATTCGCCTGACCCTGCTTCACGGCCCCCGAATTATCAAACCCCCTACTCGCCCCCGGCAACGCAACCCTATTCCGTTCCGCCGCCACATCCATCAAAAACTCCTTCGGCAGACCAGCCTGGAACTGATAATGCAGACGCGACGCAATGGCGAGCCGTAACGCGGGCAGCGACACACTGTTGACTTCCGAGGCACCGCGCGAGGAAGATGCGGGGTCGGTGGTTCCCGCATAACCTTCTGTTGCGAGGTGCACTGCGTCTTGTAGTACAGAGGAGGTGTAGCGGTAGGCGAAGTCGAGGAGTTGGAGAGGGATGCGTTCTTGGTAGGCTGTTACGCCGAGGGAGGAGAGGAGCATGTGGATTAGACGGACGTCGCGCGGGCGGCGCGATTTGCCGCTGTCTTTTAGGGAGGTGGATGGGATTTGGGTTGGTTGGGTGAGGGGGGCGCGTTTGCGGTGGTGGTGGTGTTGGGGGAGCACTGGTGGTGGTTTGAGTGTTGGGGCGGTGGTGGTGCTGGCACTGGTGGTTTGTGTGGCGGTGGGTTGGCTGGTGCTGGGTTCGGCGGGGGGGTGATGGGTTGGGTGGTGGGTGGTTGGCCGTGCGTGGGTGAGGCCATTTTGAAGGTGTTGGTGGTGGTTGTGGTGGTGGTTGTGATTGAGGTGCTGAGAGGTAGATGGGGTAGGTAGGTGATGGTTGCTGACGCGGTCGAGGCGGTCAATTGGGATGCGCTGGCATGGCCTCCAGAAGGGTTGCTGGGGTGTGTCCGATGCGGCCGTGAGTGATTGCGCGGTGCTCGATAAAGGTTGCTGGGTGGTGAAGAAGCTGGGGAAGATGGAAGCTGAAATGGCGATGAGATGAAAGACGTTCAGTTCCGCCAGTCGGGGTCCGCGCTAGACCCGCTTCGGCAGGATCCATTCCGCTCCGACAAGAATTATCGACTTTTACCATGATTATTATTAGGATTAACATGTGCAACAGTCAGGTAATATTCATCTAGCACATTCTATACAGCCAAATCGAATTCTCCCTATCATACATTATGCGCTGCTGAATAAAGCAGTAACTATATGGTTATGCGACCTGTGCAAACGCCCATCATGCAAATCTATCAACAAACACCTCATCCATGCAATAAATGTTAGAGTCCAGGCACAGCGGCATCGCGCGTAGCGGGGTATCAGGCACTGGACACTGAGCCGCCTAGTTGCAGTTGATGCATCCACGGCCATCCGATCATCGCTTCGGAGACCCAGGGTTCGACTTGGTCAGACGAGGGGAGACCACCGGCTCTTCGTCAGACAGGACCTCGTCTTCTTCTTCCACGCCCTCATCGATTTGAAGACTGCGGCTGTCAGCCAGTTCGGATCCATCGACTGAGTCCTGCGAGATGTAGCTAGCCCCGAGATCTTCCCCGGCCTCGTCCTCTTCCACATCACTCCCATCCTCCTCACTCAGCTCCCCGTCGTAGTCCTCTTCCTCTTCCTCCTCTTCCTCTTCTTCCTCCTCTTCCTGGTCACCTTCTTCCGCTTCACTGTCTGTACATGAGAAGTCTTCCAGATCCGGTGGGGGCTCCCGCCAATAGGTAAAGTCGGTATATTCTTCGCCTCCAGCCTGTACCAGCAGACTCACCGGTGGGAAGAAATGGTCAAGCAGTTCGGTCATCGACACATAGCTGCTCTTGTATTTGTTCAGACTGAGGAGATCTAGTACAACCTCCGCGTTCGAGTTGATCGTGAAGATCCGGGTCGATGGGATGTTCACAGACCGATAGCTCAGCGCGTCCGTCAGGCGGTTGCCGAACCCGGCGTAGAAGGGATTTTCCTTGCCATTGAACAGATTGAGGATATCCCGCAGACAAGCCATCTTGAACACCTCGGGCTTCCTCAGGTAGATCTCCCGTCGGAGAGCCGCCATGGTCCGATCAGGGCTCATGATGACCGGGCCCTTGGGCAATCGGTATCCGTCCTGATTGACCCCGTACAGGTAGGCCCGCGTAAGATCGGCCTGGCCAACCGATCGACTCGTAAGATACATGATGTTGTAACCATTGTTGGCAATGTCAGTATACAACTTGGCCACGCCCGCATGCGTCCAGTCACGGCCGATCATGTTCAACACATGGCCCAGGGCATCCGATCTATACTCATTAGCGACCAACATGATGACCCAGTCAGAAGGAACTCACTTGGTGATAGTCCCATCAATGTCGGAAATGACAATGGGGACGTTACCGTTCCACAGATACATCGTCGCCGTGCAAGTAGCCCGGTTAACGCTGAACGACATGTTGTTCGCACCAGGCTTCAGATTCAGCGCCTTGAGTTGGTTACTCGTCAGACGCAGAGTCTTGGCATAGTTTCGGGCGGACTCTGTAGCCAGAGGCTCTTGTGTCGGAGACTGCGGCGGGGTAGGAAAGCCGGGTTGGACATCGGACTGGGCGCGATGGTGCCGGGTGGGCATCGGCTTATCATTGATAGACCGATCACTATCGCTGTGATACCCTGGGTCGGAAATCGCATGCTCGCTCATGGCAGAGCTCGGCCGCATCGCATTGAACGTAGCTCGCCGGTTGGCAGCCTCCTTTGCTTCCTCGCTGCTGTAGATCCACAGGTTGCCATGCTCGTCGGCCCCGATAAGAGCCCCGATATCATAGCTTCCCTCCAATTCCTCGGCGAGGATCTTCCGTGCAAGGACTTCCGCCCGGAGAGCATCCTCCTCGCTGCTTTTATAGCCGGTCATGTCAAGCATGAGATCACCCGTTTCAGTAACGCGAGACGGAATATTCGACCCAGAGAGTTTCTTCGATAGTGAGACAGCGCGAGACATCGCCTCTTCCGGCGATAACAACGGGGGACTTCGCGGACGGCCATCCGGACCGACGTCATCGCTCGAGGCGCTCGCACCAGGTGACTGCAATCCATATACTTGGTCCGCCACGCTAACACTGTTGGAGCGGCTCTTGGTCAACAGCACCGTATCCGTAACCGTCCGGTCGATTTGTTTTGGTTCATCACCGAACGATCCGTGCCGGGACCGGCCCAGGCTGGAGTCATCCGGCGATCGTGAGAGGGGGGTAATGGTACCTGCAGCATTATGAGCATCAAGCACACCGTAGAAGGATTTAGGCGATAGAACCCACCCAAATCGCTTGTTGCCCGCATACCCCTCGACAGCATGGGAAGAGCTGTGCTGCCATTGGTTCGATCGAGATCTAGGTAATCGGGTTCTTGGAGGGAGGGGGGAAGGTTTTCCTCGCTGCGCATCTTGGGGCTACTAGTTGGCGACACTAAAGGCGACGTCTGGAGCGAGGCGGGAATCTCGTCCGTCGTCTCAAAGACGAAGAAGGCCTCCCCGCCCTCGCCCAGCTTCATCGCATAGTTTTGTCTGATCCCATTGACGGAGAATTCCACCTTAAAGCAATCTTAGTTATGCGGGAACGCGGCCAGGATCGATGCGGGCAGACGGTACCTTCTTCTCGTACGGGCGGAGCAATGAGAATTTGCCAAAACGGACATGGAAGGGTGAACAGGCAAGGGTTCCTATCCCAAAGGATCAGTACAGATTCGTCAAACGAAAGGTGGCAGACAGCGGACCATCTTCTTGTTCAATCACGATCACATCGATTGCCCCACTCAAGGTGGCTGGATTGATGGAGTTCCAGGTCTTGGAGACCGAACCGCTGATACTTCGAACGTACTGCATCCTGCAATAGTGACAGGGAAAGTCCCGGACGAAGGTTGAACAATCCCAAAAGACAAAGGCGAACCACGGCACACAAAGACACGACAAAGAGAGGGGGTTGGAGGTCAGACGGCGGAGGAGCAGGAATTGCCGCCTACATACGGCCCATGTGACAAGGGCCGATAGACATGCCCCGGAGTGGGAATCACGAACGAGAGACGGTCACTTGCAATGCGAATGAGCTGGCATGCAAGCATCTGACCACGGCGAAATCAAGCGAGTGGAACCTGCAGAACAGGCAAGGCGAGGTGACAGCAAAGTGAGACAGCAAGGACAGCGAAAAGATCCCAAAGAAGCTGGTGGCTCTTGTTGGTTGTTGGGAGAGGCGCTCTCGGTGCTGCGGGCTCAACAGCCCAACAGCAACCCGGGTCCCCCGGAGGCGGGCGGTCCGTCATGTGCCTCACTCTTCAGTCTTCACACTTCAAAGTTCCCAAAGTTGCTGGCCTGGTTGGCCTTCCTCGGCTTGAAACAGCCGCTAGCCCCCATCCGGCGGGGGGCCGCCTCTTTTTTGAGACCGTCTCAAGCACCCTCGAAACCTGCCATGATCTGCAACGCTGACTCAGCGCTGCGTCAGCACCCTTCCAGGTCAGGTGACTCTGTCCCTCTCAGCCTCCGCGGAGCATCGGATTAATTCCTACTGTACCGGATTCGCAGTGAATCGAGATTCGTCTGCTGCCCTTCCTTTTCCCTTCACTGCCCTCCCCCGAGGTCGTCAGTCCCCTCCTTTCTTTCTCCTCTCCATGGGTCGCGGACGCTGGGATGTATGAGCCGTTGTTTCTCTCTTTCGACGCCTACCCCAGCGTGGTTCCCCGAGTGAGGGTCCGAGGCGTCATGGCTCTCTTTCTCGCTGTCACCATTCTTTGGGCTCTGATCTGGTATGTCGCATTGCCTCATATATTGCAGAGCACTTCAACTGACTATTCTTTTGGGAAGGCTACTGTATCGTGCGTGGCAGGTCTGTCAAACTCCCAACGACGTCCTGGTGGAAAAGCTCGGCTTGGACATCCCTCCGCCACCAGAAGTCACCCTCGAGGAGATCACCGCCCGTGAGATCCGCATCGCTTGGAAACAGCCCGAATTCCACAATTCCATCCACAAACACATCATTCAGCTGAACGGCATCAAGGGTACCCTCGGCAATGGCTCCCTCGAATCTCTATCTGTTGATACTAATGAGTTCTCAGTGGGCGAGTCGAAACGAGCGGAAACCGCAGTCGAAATCCTCAACTTGGTTCCTGGCAGCATCTACCATATCTGCGTCCTGTCCGTCAGTGCGGCAAACTTCCAGACGCCGAGTGCTATCATCCACGTGCGCACGAAATCGCTGCCTTTGTCCCAGACCCAGCAAAATGCGACGGTCGGCAACCCTGCCATCCGGGCGTCAATTCCCCGGTCTACCGCCGGTCTTGCTGCCCCGTCGGCCCCTGTGATGTCTCGAGAGCACAGCGGAGGACAGCTCCAAGCGAAGCGATCTTCGGCCGGGCGGAAACCGTCTCCTGCAGCGAGCGGGACGGAGATCTCACATGGCAATGCGGAGGAGTCCCAGAAAAGTGCGGCGAACGACGATCACGATGAGACACTCGAACAACTCGCCGACCGATTGAAATCACTCCAGCATGAGAACGAGACCGTGGAGAAGCAGACTGCCGACGAGGAGGAAGAGCACATTGCACTTCTAAAGGAACTCGAGAAGCAGCGCGACGACCTGAAGAAGCGAGTCAAGGAGAAAGACGAAGCGAGCGGCGATTTGAAGAAGCACGTTTACAAGCTGGAGAGTGTCAACCGTACTGTGCAGAGTGAGAAGGCGAAGCGAGAGAGACTCCTACAGCAGAAAGAATCTGAGCGCAAGAAGCGGAAGTCCGACATCGTCCGGTGGCAGGGCCGGGTTGAAAACATGAATCGCGATGCGGCTGAGTCGAAGGAGGAAAAGACTCGACTGGAAGAAGAGGGGAAGCAGCGTGCTGATGAGGTCCGGGAGAAGATTGCAAAGGAGCAGGCAGAGATGAAGCTCATCGATGACGAAATCCAAGACAAAGGCGGACGTGTCAAGAAGTTGGAGGAAGAGAGACAGAACCATCAGGAAGCAGATAGTGAGGATGGAAGGGAATTGGATCGGATCGACAACGAACGAGCCCGGCAGTGGGATATCAAATTGAGCAATCTCCACGCTCGCTACGCAACCCTCGTCAACCTCCACACCCAGGTACATATCCCTGCCTGCCTTGCTTGTTGCCCGATGCTAACTCACTCTACAGGCCCAGCAGCAGTACCAGGAGGCTCAGGAGCGCTTGAAGTGGCTGACTACCCAACGTACCGGCAGCACAGGACCCTTTTCTCTCCCTGCTCTCGACCTGGATCTCTCCAACACTGCGACCATCCGCCCGCGTCGACACCGCAGCTCACTCGCCAGCAATGTTTCCTCTCCCATGAACTTCACGGCCATGGAGCCATCATTCTCCGGCGGCATCACCTATAATCCTCCTGCCACGAGCTCTCCCACCTTTGGCCCGACGTCTGCTTTCTTCAATATCACCAATGGAATGACCCTCCCGAGCTTGTCGGGTCAATCGGACACCACAAGGGGGTACTCGGATTTGTCTCTTGGAAACCCGCAGATGAGCCCTCGCGCCGATGCGTTACTTCCTTCCGATCTCCTTGGGGATGAAGAATCGCCCGAACTTCCCCGCCCGGTCATTCGTTCTCTATTCTCCAACATTGAGCAGTCAAGCACCCCGCTCGAGTTCCCCCATGGACCGCCCTCGCCCGATTCTGCGGGGAGCCGGCCAGAAAGCCTTTTCGCCAGTCCGGAAAATCAAGCGCATACGAAAGACATCGAGTCTCAGCCCGTGAATCTAGAGGTGGACGAGGCGCCGAAGAGTGCATCGCGCAGGCTCTCCGGGCTATTTAGCTTCCATCGGCCTCGCGGTAAAACGCTGGCCGACGAGCCTCCTCTGCTGGGTAGTCTGAAACCAGGCCAAAGTCAGTCGTTCCCCCGTAATCTGGATGAGATGGATCCCATCGGGGCTAGACGTCGTCGGCTGAGCTATACAGGCAACTGGGCGAACCCGATGTCCTTGTTCCCCAGAAGCAACACAACAGGTGTTACCACGGATAGCTCTTCCGACCATCTCCCCTCTCGTCGCGCGGCATTTTCCAGCATTTTCTCGCCTAGCCGATTTGGTTTTGGCAGTGGCGGCAGCTTGCTCAAGTCTAGTGAGAACTCCGACCTCAGCACCGGATATAACCAGTTCAGCCCTCGGCACGATCCTATCGACCCCTCCTCCATCTTGGGTACCGTTCGTCGTGATTCGCTGTCCCCACGGCCCTCATCAACCTTCTCCTTCGAGAACCAGCTACCTCATCCCTCTACGGACAATCGGCACTTCGGTTGGCCGTCGGCTGAAAAGCAAGGCCATCGGAGTCCCCTGGGGTTTGACTGGGCCTCTCCATCTACATGGTCACGAGTGCAGTCGCGCCGGCCATCTACGCAGTACGGCTCCTCTGGTCACCTGCCTCTAAGTCTCACCGGAGAGCCCGACTTCCTTCAAGATTCATTCGAGCGACAGGGTCGGCCATTGCAAGCGCCTATCGGCACACGACCATCATCATCTCACCGGCCAGTCACCCCGAAGTTGAACCCTGCAGCGCCCACCTTCCGGACTATTTTTGGGAAACGATCGGACAAGAGTAAAGAGAAGGAGATGGCAGCGGAGCGAGATATATACGCCCCATTTGATTTTCACATGGAAGAAGGCTCTCCGTCCGAGTCGCGGATCTCCCGGGATTCTCGGTCTCTGTCCGTTTACACGGGTGACTCGTATGAGTCTCTGGAACGTATGCCTTCGGCGGGCTCGCTGGATAACGGGAGCTCGAAAGAGTCGTTTATCCGCAAAATCACCCGAAAAGGCAGCTCCAGCAAGTTCAGTTCCTGGAAGGATCGGTCGGGTCTGTTCTCCAAGAAGGGAGATCCTTCGCAAGGCGACATCGACGAGGACGCACATAGCGAGGCGCTGCTGGCCAAGAGTGTGGACAGCACCGTTTCCAGCGCGCCGTCGGCAGATCGGTCGACCCGAAGCAGCCTGGGATTCTTCAGTCGCATGTCCAGGAAGTCGGACAGGGCGGCCAGCGAGACGAGTGAATACCCGAGTGAGCAGGTTAGCGAGGCAGAGGAGGAGGAAACGGTGGAGGAGGAAATCCATGCATCCTAGCATCCATCCATTCTTTCACATTTCTTTAGATTTTAGCAGTCATCAGGTGGTACTTGTGGCTTTAGGCATTCTCTACAATTTCTTAGGTAGTGACGATAGAAGTCATCATTATGGCATAACTGCCTTTCCTACTCTTATCTATTCCATCCTGATCTCTTTGGCCGTATTTAAATCACGAGTAGATGAATCCGATGCTGGGAGATGCGGAAGGGTTGGCCGTGACTCGGTTCGGTTCGTCGTCCATCCCCACCAGAATATTCATTCATCCCTCATCTCTCTGCCCGACTGCTCTCCCTAGCATCTACACCTGCACCTTTAAAGCAAGATGGCGAACTCAAAGTATTCCCCCAGCCAGTAAATTTTTCTTGTGCCACAGCTAACATTTCCCAGATACGAATATGTCAAGTCATTCGAGCAGCCGGACGTTTTACTCCCCAATACATGGATCGTCGTCCGCATCGATGGCAGGGGGTTTCACAAGTCGGTGCTCCTTTCTTGCAATACCCGCCGTACTGCTGCATCCTAGGAATGCTATGCAGTAGCTGTATTCAGACTCATCTATCAGATGCGCCGTATACATTCCGCTAATGCGAGGGAATAGACTTTCCGCCAACTACGGCTTCATCAAACCCAACGACCGTCGGGCCCTAGACCTAATGAACGCCGCTGCAGTAGCGGTCATGAAGGATCTTCCTGATCTGTGTATTGCCTACGGTGTCAGCGATGAGTACAGGTTTGTGATGCTGCATCCATCGACTCATGCGCGGGGAAGCTGACTTGACATAGTTTCGCTTTCCACCCCAGCTGCCAATTATTCGAGCGGCGGAGTGCGTGAGTCTCTCCCAGATATCTACCACTCTGACAGTGTTGGCCTAACTCTATTGGGAATGCAGCAAGCTAGTCACGACGATTGTGTCCACCTTTACGGCATATTACACCTATCTATGGGGGTCATATTTCCCCGATACGCCGTTGCAGGCTCCCGGACTGCCCTCGTTCGATGGGAGAGCCGTCATGTATCCGAATTCCAGAATCTTTAGGGATTATATGAGCTGGCGACAGGTGGATTGTGAGTCCTTCTGTTTCTGGGTGGCACTTCGGCTGGTTGCGATACTGACGCGCTGCAGGTCACATTAACAACCTTTACAATACGACTTTCTGGACTATGGTTCAGAAAGGTGGGATGGACAATCGGGATGCTGAACAGGAGTTGAAGGTGGGTTTCTCACGTTGGGCCCTAGTGCCGATGCTGAGTGTGGAACTAGGGCACCGTGTCAGCCGACAAGAACGAGATCCTCTTCAAGAGGTTCGGCATCAACTATAACAATGAAGAAGAGATCTACAAGAAGGGCAGTGTGATTTACCGCCAGGTATGTGTATCCTTCAGCCTCATACATGAGGATGCTGACCAATTCAGTATCAATTGGAGGATGTGAAGGTAAAATCAGACTCAGGCATCCAGGAAGAAACATCACCGTTGCAGGAGGCTACACCCTCAAAGACACAACAGGACAAGCTCCGTAAACTACGGAACAAGGCACAGGTGGTGGTTGACCATGTCGACATTATTAAGGACGAGTTCTGGGAGAGACGGCCCTGGATTCTCTCGGGGAAGCCTGGGAAGCTGCCAGTAGAGTCTAAATAGATGAGCTTGTGAATAAGGAACAAACATAGTAATGAAGAATGCGTTTCATGAGAATGTACAAGAACCAAGCAGCAAGCCATGGGTATCTATAAGTTTTGTGTCTATCCATACACCTCCCATCTCTATCCAGCCAGTCAACCTTATTCCCACTTTTTCGACTTCTTCTTCTTCGACCCGTCATCAGATGTAGGCGCCTCCCGCTTCTTGCTCTTCTCCTTCTTTTCTTTCTTCGCCATCTTCACCTCCTGCACAACCGACTCGTCTCGACCACTCGACTCGGTCTGCTCCAGCTCTGTCGCCGGCGGCGTAGGATACTCCTCCTCTGGACGACGCTCCTCCTCCTTCTGCTTCTTCTTCTCCTCCTTCAACAACCTCTTCTTCTCCTTCTTCTCCCTCCTCTCCGCCCTCCTCACCTCCTTCGCCTCCCTCCTCTTCCTGCGCTCCTCCTTCCGTTTCGCCCTCTCCTCTTTCCTCTTCCTCTTCTCCTCCCTCCTCACCCGTCTCTCCTCCTTGGTCTCTTTCTTCCCCTCGCCATCAACCTCCATCTTATCCCCCTCCTCCACCTTCTTCTCCACTCCCCCCAACGTCCCAGGAACCGTCTCCCCGCGGACAAAAAACCGATACAGTTCACTCGTCAACGCATTCGGCGCCCGTTTCGTCTCCCCAGCACCAGATTTATTCTCCTCTCCGACTCCCTTCAACGCATCCTCGAATCCGCGTAGCCACCACTGATTCGTATGATCCTTAGTTGTCTTCTTTCCCACGCCTTGGTTGCCTTGCCGGCGCGCAACGAGAATCGGTCGAGTGAGGCCCAGTCCGCCGTGCGTGCCGGGGCGACGGTTCGGGTTGAGGGGGTTGCCGGGTCCGGACCAGCCGTGGCGGAGGAGGTAGGCTTGGGCGTCCATTGTTTTTTCCTTTCTTTGGGGGTTGTTTTGGGATTGGAGGGTGGGTGGTGTGTCGTGGTGTGGTAGGTAAGTAGGCGGGTGTTTTAAGTTATTGCGACGGTGAACAATCAACCAATCTCAACCAACAACGACAGGAAGCACAAAAAGAAATCAAATCCCTTTCCGTCCTCAAACAAATTAACGAGATGTCTGTGTCCCCAAAGACAAAACAACTCCACCCAACACAAGAGGGGAAAAAAAGAACGTAAGTGAAAAGAGTAAATATGTAAGTTAAGGGGGAGAAATGGGGAAAAAAATCTAATCCGGCTGGCTCTCTCTCTCTCTCTCTCTCTCCGCGCAGATAAGATAACATCAGCCACGACCATACAGCGAACAGTACTCAGACTAAGAAATGGATGCAAAGAATTTAAACTTTTTTTATCCACTAGTCGCGTGGTCTAATGGTTATGATTTCTCGTTCACATGGTTTCTTTTCCAGTGAATCCTCAGCTTATGAGGAGGTTCCGAGAAGGTTCCCGGTTCGATCCCGGGCGCGACTATCTTTTTTTTTGGGGGGGTTTTCCTTTTTTATCTTTATTCCAAGCGTATATACTCCGTAGTAGATCTTTGTATAGTGTTTCGGATAGTTTGATTGGTGCTCAGGTTCTTGTTGTTGGTTGAGTTTGGGGGTTTGGGGTCGGGAGTTTATATATATTTGTGTTTGTGAGTGGGTGTGGGTGTGTTTAGTTTGCTGGATAAGTTGAGTTGGGATCGGTTGCCCGGGGTTTTCTTTCTCTGCGTCTTCGGTAGTATGGAATCGTGGTTGGTGGTTAAGTTGAGTCAACTGGAATAAATGGATTCTTGGGTTCTAGGTCTGTACGGAGTATACGTCTACAAGATAGCTGGTGCATGTCGGCGGGTATATCCTCGGTGTGACTAGAGTCGGATGCTATGCTCAATACCATGCCATGAATGCTGAATGTTGAATATTGTATCTACATCCTGGATTGACTACAGCATCACAGTGACCATAACGCCTTAATAAGGCTTGTACCGCCCCCTCTCTTTGTTCTTCTTATCCTTCCGTGGCACCTTGGCCTCCGTTTGAGCTGTCCCCTGGTCTTCGCTGTCGGGCTTCCAGGCGCGAACGAATCCGTCCTCGCCGCAGGTGAACACAGACTGGGACTAATCACTGTTAGCTGGGTCCACGCAGTCCTATCAAATGAGTGACATACCTGCTCATCGAGATAAACCGAACGTACAATCTCCTCGCCATGGGCGCCCGGCAGACGCCACATATTGTCTTGGTCAAATCGCCAAGACGGCGTCGAAACGAGCGGAACCAGGTCCAGACGGTTTTCCCTGCAGGTGTTAGTCCGGATGAGAATCAACCCGCATGAGACCGGTCACATACTGTTTGTTGCCCGCGGCAATGTATGGTCCCTGACTACCGACGCACAGTTGTGCAATGTATTCGCAGCCAAGAGGCTGTCTCAGGTCACCGAACTGCACAGGTTCGGGCTCCTGCGTCGGCTCATCTGGATCGGTCGCCGGGTGGATGGAAAAGTCTTCGTCGTGACTGAGGGCGTAGATGGTCCTCTCGCCAAGGAACCCTGCATGATGCACGGAGCCGTGGTTGATGACTTGCACGAGGGCATCGTCCTCATCGGCGATGGTTGTGTTGTAAATGTTGACCAGCCCGTCTGTGCTGCCGGACAGAACGAGGTTGCGACGGACTGGGTGATATTGAAGCTACATCCACGGACAACCTGTCAGTAAGGAGAGAACCTGGAGTCTCGAGTAACACGTACTTCGGTCACGTCATCGTTGTGGCTCTCAACGTATTGGAGGGACGTTTGACCGGGTGATCTGGTGTCCCTGTTGCGTCAGTTAGCAGCTCGTGAAACTGGTACAGCGTCCAGCCCCCGGTAGCTCCTCCGGATAAGGCATAGGCTATGGAGGGTCGCGAATCAACTTACCAGAAGGCGACAATGGCCTGGAATGAAACAAGCTCGGTTCCAGCCACAATTCCATTAGTCTCCGGACAGCATGCGACGGACAACACGGGGGCCTGCTTCGCTGTCGCCGGAACAAGGTTAGCGAGCAACCATTTGCGGATGGGGCGTGCATATGCACGACAAACTTTGTGAAGTCTGACGGCGGGAAACCTTTGGCCTCAAGTGAGGCCACGCCTCGAATGAGGCCCACCGGATAGAGCACCGAAAAGAGGACAATCAAAGCGAAAGGGGGCGACGAGAGGCTTACAGGTCTCCATCTCCACAGCCGCGGACTTCCTGCCACTGCGCAGATCCCACAGTTTCACCTTGCCATCCCTTCCTGCCGTCGCCAGCACATGCTGGCCGGCGTCATACGATTTCAGGGACGTGACGCCCTCATGGGCGCTCGCGGCAACGACGGACGCATGGCTGAGCCCGTTAGCGTCAAACACACGAAGGGAGTCATCCGATGAAATCGCGGCAAACGACCCTGGGGACGAAGGGGCGATGGAGTAGATGTAGTGGCCCTCGGCCAGTGAGAGGGAGGAGGAAGCAGTGGCTTTGAGCGTATGCATGATTTAGATAGTGACAGTGATCGCCGATGTAGACGCCTCGGGTTTCGTTGCCCGATAAGAGCAAGTCTTGGCTGGGCAGTTCACCTGTCCAAGGAAGGTCTCGTCTGGTTCTACTTGATAACGGCGGTGCGCCTGATGTTTGTCGTTTCTGGTTCTGGTTTCTGTTTCTTTCTTTCTTGGGAGAGATGCAGCCTAGTGGCTGGCCGGAATCCAGTATCAGACCGACGCAGGCGCCAAAGTTCCTGTGCCTTTGTACCTGACGTGGCTCGATCTGATAGGAATTTAGAGGCAAACAACAGGATGTACGAGGAGCGAGCCAGGGACCGGACTATCCGATACTGATAGATAGAAGCTAAGGGACTGGCGGTGCTGCGCGGGAAAGCCAAGAAAGATTTCCCGCCGGAAAATTCGCACGCGAGACATGGCTGCCTTAGCCATCTGGCCGCAAACGCCCACGGAAGTTCGGGACTTCCATCTTCCATCCTTCCCTTCCTTCCTTCCATCCATCCATCCATGGCCCAACATCTTTCTGATCATCAATCTCCCAACGGTCTTAGGCATCTCTTCACCCTGCCGCGATGTGATGGCCAATTACACTAGCAAGGAAACCATTACCTGCAATATCCCATGGTACTATGTAGCGGTGGATGATGTGATCATGACAAGATGGATGGCGATCCTATGAATGACATAATGCCTGAATGGTATACAGAAAGCCTCGGGGGCTTTAGGATTGGCCCCCGTTGCTATTATTCAGAGATGCCTGGTATGCTGAATTCCGTCAAGGGAGACAATCACTGAGTAATCCCCACTCTGTCACATACCAGATCGTCGTTCTAGGCCATAGGTAGAAGCCTCGAAAGGGGGATGCGCCGCGGACGATGCAACAGTGCAAGGCACCTGGGTACACGTCTACGCCTGGTCTCCATCCAGAAATATGGATGTGCATGCAGGTGTGTGCGGATGGTGAGGATTGTGCGCCCTAGTGGAATTTGGTAACAGAAAATGTTCCAAGCGACTCGATTGATCTCGCACTAAGCGGCGAAAGTGATTCCGAAGTCTGGTCCGTATCCTGTAGCCTGTAGGTTCTCGAATGCCCCTGACTCACCGAGAATCAACCTTTGTGGGAGGGTGGTGACGCTAGAAGCTGGGCGTGGTCAGGAGGCGCATAACGCGGGCGACGTCGCTGCTGGAGAGGTAAATTTTCAAGGCCGATTCCAGGCGGATCATTGGATTACAAAGAGGTCAAAAGAGGGACCACCAAAGCCGTGCCCTGTGCAAGGCATGGTCACCACAATAATCTAAGTCACCAGCGGGTTTGCGCACGGGATTGGTCAATGGTCGGGAAAGTCTCTCGCAGCATTATAGCCCTGTGGAGCCGGAGTGGGCAGAAGAGACGAATTGACACAATCCTTCCGGGTCGTCGTCGCCCCAAGACCGAAGGCACCTAATTAGCAGATATCTGTGCACTGCCGCAATAATATCGATGGATGGTCTTGACGCTCTTGACGGTTGAGGCTGCTTTTTAGTTCCCCGAATACAGGCGACCAGGACATTCGCCACCCGTCTAGAGAGTAGAGAGTAGAGAGAGAGCGCGCGCGCGCGCGCGGCAGAAGCATTTCGTGCTCAAGGCCGAGTCGACGCAGAACCAGACAGTCTAGTGATCGACCTCCAACGCCTCACAAGTACTGCGTAGTGGTTAGAGCCACAAAGGCAGATGTGCTCCTGATGGGGACTAAAGCGGTAGCATCTCCGTACCTGCTCCTGGGAGGCGAGCAGTTGTACCAGAGGACAGCCAGGACGAGGATGATGGGCATGCGATGATCGGCATCCCCACAAAGCCCGCAATTGGATCGCATTTAGACAGAGTATACTCCGTGTTCACCGCGATGGTGTCGCCAAGTAAGTGACGCTGGACCTACTCACCTAGTTAGTAGATATCTAGTAGTTACCTTTCCGAAAGCAAGGGGCGACTAGTCAGGTTAATTGTCATTGTCTCAAGACGTGGATCGGTTGTACACAGTAGCATCTCTGTGGTCAACCACGACCAGGGGGGGATTGTGTCTGACTGTCTGCATGTCAAGCCTCGTGGACCAGACGGGAAAAGGTGATGGTGGAGGAACGGGGAAGATTGGCAAGGCATTCCCGGCTGGAGGTCTCCCGCAAGGCAGATTTCTGCTGCCTTGGGTATCCAGGAGTAGGAAACAATGGCGCTTATCCGAGGATTGTGATATGGTACCAAACTCTGGAGCAGTGGCTGCGAGAGCCTGGATGGACGTGGACCAGTTTACGAGCCAGCATTACCAAGGTAGACAGCGGCTGGGCCCAACGTCCCCTTAAAGGAAGGTCGACGGTTGGACAAATGATGGGGCAGCAACTTGGGCGGTTGATATTTCCGATGGGGACGTTGGAAATCCGGGCCGGTGATGGACGCCGGTGGATCACTTGGATGCCCAGAGCTCGGTGCAAGCAGGGTGAGGATAGATAGATAGAGATTAGAGGGATTAAAAATAATAGAGAAGGTCCAGCTCTGCGGTGAGGGCTTACGTTGGGTTTTCTGGTCGTATAATTTACCTAGAACTGCACGGGGAATTGATAAATTAAATCGCGATATTTCCTCGGCAAATCCTGCTAGTCATCGAGAGCGGACTAGCCAGGTAGTACTATCTAGTTAGTTCGTACCTGCCCGGTGATTGATCCAAGGAGATAGCCGGCTACTATCCATCTAGTACTAGGTAGGTCGCCTCTCAACCCAGCCTTGAGTCAACGAGCATGCGTTGCTCGGGGGTGGGGGAATCAATGGCTGGTTTCCGATATATCTGTGAAGTTGAGGGGTGTATCTGAAAAAGCTAGATAGTAGTCTAGAGTCGAAGCAAACTGAAATGGGTCTATCTTTTTTGACACCCTAGTACTGTACTAGATCATTCGATGAGTAGGTACTAGGTAGGTAGGTGAGGAAGAACATACTTCGTGCCGAGGACAAGGAATATGGTGTGGAGTGGAGGAAACTGAAACTCAGCGGCACATAGATAAGTTGGAAGGTCGTGTTCAGGGGAATGGAGAGCCAATCGTCTGTGCGTGTGCTTAATGGTGGATGGTGAGATGCGCCCAAGCCTCCGGCGTATGCAGGCTGTACAGCTGAGCGGCGGATTTGACCAGGCACAAAGTACAGCGCTTAGAAGGATGGTGCATGCATCACCATCATCGACCCGAGAGTCTGGGAAGCGGTGAAACGATCAACGTGAGACTTCTACCTACCGATAAGTCACAAGGCAGCTGCTCCTTTAGGTCAGACGCCAACCTAGGTCGGCGCCAAGCGGGTGGGTGACCTTGGGCGTAGATGGAGGACACATGTGCGGTTTACGGAGTACAGGAGGGACGACTTGCATATGGAGTGCATCCTATAGTGTACATGCATCGCCCTAGTGTGCCCGGCACGGCGCTGACCGTCATCCTCCATCCACCATCCACCATCCACCACCTCCTCTCTCTCTCTCCCTCTCTCTTTGCTTTTTGGGGGGAAGGAGGGGGAAACTTTGGATTTATTGGATTTATTTTACTCTCCCATCCCCCGGCCAGACAAAACCTCGCTGTCCAACCGCTCGGGGGTCACAGGCTCAGCTCCAATGCTGATCCAGAGACATTTCGGGTATATTAAGTTTTCTGGTACGGCCAGCCCGCCCAGGAATATGTGGTGGATGTAACCTGGGCCCAGCCAGCCAGCCAGCCATCCATCCACTAATACAGTGGTGGGTATGACAAAACCTCACTCCCTTGAAGACGTCCGGGAATAGAACCATGCTTTCTTCTGTACCACCCATCCTCTCCGTCTTAACCTCCGCCGCAAGGAGCTCACGATTCCAGTTACAGACTTATAGACTTACAGTGGGAGTAGTATGATGATTTTCGATCATGAATCCTTCTTGGTGGTAGAACTCAAGCAGTACTCGCACCGCCCGCGGCCTCGGGCGAGCCAGCGACGGAGTCGAGTGGAACCAACCACCGGTGGATGTACCTTCATCAACTGATCCACCCCGGAGCGGCTGCACGCAATGCCGTGGTTAGTGACCCTGAATGATGGAGGGTTGGCCTCGGTTCTGGTTTGCCTATTGCGGCGCTACGGGCGAGGGTTGAAACTTGAAAGGGGAGCATCCCCGAGGCTTCAAATCCTTCAACCACAGTGTTGGTAACGCTGCCTGACGCGGACGCTGACATGCCTGAAAATGCTGGCAGCGACCGCTAGGCCCACGGAGATATTGTGCGTTAGTGGCTCTCCCGAGCAAACTTTCCTTCATTCAACTAAGTGTGGGAGACGGTCCGCATCCCGCCCGGAAGTCACTTGGCTAAATTGATTGGGGACCCATCCGTGGTTGCTTTCTCCCTCGATCCTGGTTCGTTTCTCTTGGGGTTTCCTCGCGTCTTCCGCTTTGGCGTCGGGCAAACTGATCCTGCCCTAGCTGGTTACATGGCCCGTCTGCTGCACATCCTGATGTCTCTCTTCTATCCGGATGCTTCCTTATTATGATCACCGTCATTCTTCCCCTCTCGTTTCTTACAAGCCGGATACATACATGCCGCATAAGGTAGTAGAACCGAGGCTCATAAGGAGGCCTCAGGCAGCAAGGCTTTGATGATATTTTTGCGCCCTCGGTTGAAAGACAGGACAGGAGCCTCGTTCACAGAGTGAACAATGTCCAAGTCTCGGACCCCAACCATGATTCATGTCACGCTAGCCTCTTCTGTGTCTTGGTCCAGTTTCCAAAATGAGAGTTAGACATTTGACGACCCGAAGTTGGGCCGTTGTGTTGCTTCTCCGGGAAGAAGTAAGGAAAATGGTAAGGGAACATGTCACAAAGAAGCGTTGGAAAGAAAGAAATCTTGTAAGAAAAAAAAGGAAATCCTAAAACAGGTACATATAGAAAAATAAACCCATAAAGAAAAGAGGTGAGAAAAAAAAATCAAAAATCAAAAATCAAAAAAGAAAAGAGAAAAGGAAAAAATAACTAGATTGGGGGGGGAGAGAAGGGAGGGGGGGGGGTTTAAGCGCTAAGCTACTACTTACCTACCTGCTTAAGTAGAACTCGTGGTGGATACAGACTGTATGTATTCTTGTTGTATGAGGTACACAGGAAGTACCCGGGATTGCCAGTGGATATGTATGTCGGTGCAGGTGCACACCCTGGTAGCCACTAAGCACTGAGGCAGATTAGTTAGTGCGTCTGTACGGAGTAAGTGTGTATGCTATGGTACATACATACATACATACATACATACATACCTAGCTAGTAGCACATCGTGCATCCACCCTGGGATCGGTACCAGACACACAGACGTTAGACGTATCGCCTTGGGGAGGCACCGGCCGAACCTTTACTGCTGGGGGAGATTGATAGGACTCTACCGGATTCTTGATCCAGGCATCAGGGCCCTTCCATCTGGACAGGACCTTACTGATCCGCGTAGCTGCCCAGAGGTGCTAGAGAACCGTCGTACCATGGATGGCAGAGGGGTTCTACTTCCGGCCAACACCAATGACGCCCGGATGCGCCAGATCCCCGACACATCCTGAACCCATGCCGGTAGTGGTAGTATCTAGTCGAGTCCAACTGACTCGCAGCAGATGGCATCTACTAGATCTCCAACTAACTATCGCCACGAACAGTAGCTCAAACTGAAAATCCCGTGTAGCCGCCAGGGCATCACCTAAACTTCCCTTCCCCCTGGATCTGATTGTTCCCCAACTCTCTTTCCCATCTTCCTTCCCAAGTTCGCAGGCCCTCTGTCCAAGGCTCCAACCGCCCCGCCTTCGCGCCCGTGGGCCCAACGGGGTCAAAGACAGCGGCTGCAACAACCTTAAAGGCAGGGTTGCTTGCTCTACGGAGTACCTATCCATCCATCACAGTATCCATCCTCTGTGCGCTCCGTCCAGAGTCGAACGGTCTTAAGCTCCCGGGATCGGATTTTTCCTCCCTGCTCCGATGCGTGACACCAATTGACTTGACCCTCGATCATCGTCCCCGATCCATGGTTGTTAATTAGTTCTTGTTGTAACGCCTAACACTTTTTTTTTTTTTGTTATCGACTGAATTTTTTTTTTCTTGCTCTCTATGCTGGGGCCGTGACCGCTACTTTGCTGTCCCTTGATTTTCTGTGCTTTCCCCGACGGCCTTCCATTTTCGCGGGGGGCGGCCATTATTGCTCCAACTCTCTTCCATCCTCCTTATTTAGTATCCTCTCGTATCCTCTTGTGTCCCGCTGCCTCTCTGGTGAAAATTCGCCAACCTCCTTGTTGCTTGTACGTCTGTGCATGCAACTTTTGATCTCCGTGGATTTCCAGGGCAGGAAATCAAATTCAAAACCCAAAACTACACCAATTGTGGACTTTTGTCGTTCCTATCCTTGGCCTTTTTCCCGTCTTCTTTCTCCAACTTTCCATCTCTCCCTTCCTCCCTTTGCCACTCATTGATCTCGCAGTCCCTTCCAACTTTGCTCTTCAATCTATACAATCTCTGGCCCTGTTTACGGAACCGGACCTCGTTCTACTCTATGTGCAACTTGACTTTGGTCTTTTCGATTGCATCCACAGCCTGCATACGTCGCGTTGAATAACACCAGCATTCTTCACTGCTATCGCCACCACTGTTCTAACGGCGGCTCCGTCTATACGCTCTTCACCAGGAATAACTGGATCACTTCTTCTTGTCCAGCCCTCTGACCCATAGCCTCCATGTTTGCCAACGGAAACGGACGGGTCTTGCACCAGCCGATCACCATGGCTTCTCCGCCTCACAACCACTACGCCTCTCATTCCGCGGGGTCTTCTGACATAGGCCGCTCCAGGCAGAACTCAGATGCCATGGACATCTATGTCATCACGGACCGGGAGCCCCCTGGAGATGATCCAGCCGGCAGTGAGCAATGGGACCGCAATGAGTCTCCCGGCTCAAGTAGTAGTCCGTCTAGCAAGTAGCTCTCTCTATTTTCTTTTTATTCCCTTCCATCCACCATTTCTCCCTTTCCCTGCCTTTCTATAATTCCCTACTACTATTGGGCGACTAATATTGGGAACCTTTCTCCCATTGCTCTTTTTAAGTAGGTCTCCTGACAGATTGGCCTTCCATGAAGAAAACGGACGAACATACCATGGATTTCGCAGGGGAGTCTACATGCTACCGTGCGACGAACAGGAGCAGGACCGGCTCGACATATTTCATAAGCTGTTCACGGAAGCGAGGGTGTCTGGGAGTTTGATCTACGCCCCGCACCCCACCAATGCTCGAATCCTTGACCTGGGGTGCGGCACTGGGATTTGGGCCATTGAAGTGGCTCAAAAGTACCCCGACGCCTTTGTTGCTGGGGTGGATCTGGCACCTATACAGCCTCCTAACCACCCCAGAAATTGCGAATTCTATGCACCATTTGATTTTGAGAGCCCATGGGCCTTGGGAGAGGAATCTTGGGATCTCATCCATTTGCAAATGGGTGCCGGCAGCGTCGTTGGTTGGATGAACCTTTACAAACGAGTTTTAACGCATCTTCGACCCGGGGGCTGGTTTGAACAGGTGGAGATTGATTTCGAGCCGCGCTGCGATGATAACCGCTTGGAAGGGCTGGCTATACGTTATTGGTATCAATACTTGAAGCAGGCGACACAGGACTGCATGCGGCCGATAGCCCACAATGCGCGGGACACTGTCAGAGACCTCCATGAGGCAGGATTTACCGAAATCGACCATCAGATGGTAGGATTACCGCTCAATCCCTGGCATAAGGATGAGCATGAGAGGAAGGTTGCCCGTTGGTATAACCTAGCAATCTCTGAAAGCATTGAGTCGTTCAGCCTGGCCCCGTTCACACGGGTCTATGACTGGCCTTTAGACAGAATCAGACACCTCGCAGCACAGGTTAAATCAGAAGCCTTCAACAAGGAAATACACGCCTACAATATCCTACATATCTACCAAGCTCGAAGGCCGGTGGACCAATGACGGTGCCAAGAGAACCAACGCAAGACCCGATACAGTCCATGTCTTATTTCATGTACTCGTGTGATGCCTTTGGGACCTTGTGGCTCTCTCAGCATTCCCATTACGTCTCCATTACGTCTCCTACCAGAGGCCCTAGGGCTCAATTTTACCTTTTTTGCAACACCGGACTATGAGATGTATACATCGGCAGGGCGAGCAAGAACCACCAAAACGACCATGGGCTGAAACTCTTGTCAACAAGTGGAGTGATACAAGAACGTCACGAACGCATACCTTTGTCGTGATTCCTCACTCAAGAGCCTCACTCCGGAGCTACAACAGCCGGTCGACACCTACAGATCTCGGTAACACGGAGAGTCTAGTGGATATGCAGACGATTGCTGCGCCGGGGACATCGTTTGACTTGGAATACTTCAGGTGCCTCCAAGGAAGGTGGCGTGCTAGTTTTTGCAGGACGCACTTAGAAAACAACTGACACAATGTCTTCGAACACCTAGCCTGCCTGGAGTCGGTGGCGCCTCCCCAGCCATGATGATATGTGATAAACAGCCCGCACACAACACGTCTACGTCGTACGAGTGATACAATCGCTAGTCTTTTGAAATCTCTCTCCTTGACGAACTGATGAAGCCCTCTGAGCACCATCCACACCTTTTGATTGGCGAAGACCGCTCCATGGACGAGCCAACGCTTTATGGTGCCCATATATTCGGGAAAAGGCGGGGCGGGGGGAAGATAATTAAAGAGAAGGAAAGGGAGAAAATTGAAACGTCATCGGGAAGCACATGAATTGTGCCGAGCTTTTGTCTTTCCAAGACTCCCACCGACCATGCACCGTATGTATACCGAAGCGCATGCCATGTCCCCTGAAACCTTTTGCCGAACGCCCAACAACCCACGACAGATTAACTGACACATAACTTAATAGATGACTTGCAGGGTGAAAGGGATAAAAAAGAAGTGGAGCATGAAGAGACCAAAAAGGAACGCAGTATTGGAGCCAACTAGAGGTGCACATCAACGCCTTCGACCTTTCTGAGCTCGCGTGGTGCCGTTCCTACCGCCAGTGGTACTGTCCTTCTCTCCATCTCCGTTCGCATTCGCTCGGTCCCGGCCTGCACCCGGACTGCGCCTGCGCATCGTGCCAGGCCCGACAGCGACGATGTCATCCTCGCTTTCGCTGTCCGAAATATCGAGGAGAACAGGCATGCGGAATGAAGTGACAATGTCCTCCTCTGCTCCGTCTTTGTGTGGTTCGATCGTCAGCACGTCAGGAACTTCATCTTCCTGGTCTAGACGACGCTGATGGATCTCCTCTGCCGGATGAATGTCAAACTCGTCTTCGCGTTCGACATACTCGACATTCTCTTCGACCTCGCCAAAATCAGGGGCTAGCGCCGACCACTTCTGAGGGGTCACAATAGACCATGTATAGATACATCCGGATTCCAAGCCACACGCAACCACCATCGGACGGCAAGGGTGCCATTCGACCACTCCCAGCTCTTCACGGGGCCCTTCCAGAATCTTGACCAGAGAGCCGTGACTCCGCTCCCAAACATAGATGTCGGGATTCATGAACGTGGATGCAGTAACAAATTCCCCCGTGGAAGAAAATGCGACATGATTCCAACTTAAACGGTTAACCACATCCTGGAATTTATGTTCCACTTGGAGCTTGATGTTGGTAGGCTCCAGGTCAATGCCCAACTGCGAGAGATCCGGCATGAGAATTGTGCGTATAACGCGATCGGAGCTGTTGACTAGTAGGTCCCGACCGTTACTCGCTAAGCGAAGTAGGATGACCACACCATTGCAGAGGCGAGTGGAATGTATCGTGGTGCAGGTTTGTGTTTCAATGATATTGATCCAACCTTTAGATGTACCCGCTATGATATGGTTTCCTAGAGCCGTGAAGACCGTAACACATGTTGAATGCTTCGCGTCCTGTGCGGCTTGCTTTGCAGCAACGGCGGGATCAATTTCTTCGTTCTTTGGTGGTGGAGGACGGAATGGGGCAGAAGGAAGAATGCGCTTGACTGGTTTGGGCAACGAGACGTCCACGAGGATAGGTTGATCTTCAAAAAGAGAAGCTACAAATAGCAGACTGCAGGGAGAAGATATTAGTAATGCGCTCGCTGCTAGACACTAGGAGGGCGTCATACTGGTTATAAGGATGTAGTTCCGCGATGTATACAGGGGCTTCAAAACGGACGGTGCGGACCCGGGAGCCATCTTTCAAGTCCCATAGGATACATTTCCAATCCTGAGAAGAGCTGAGAAGATACCGACCGTCTCTGGACCAACTGCACACCGCTTAAGTTAGAATATTGTAGTGGGGCGGTTTCGCGCAGCAAGTGGTGTACCTTAGTGACTGAATCTGCCTGGTATGGCCTCGTAGCTTTCGCGCGACCCCGTTCGTCTCCACGTCAAAAATGACCACTGTTCCATCAACCTAGGACCCGGTTATTGATTTGACCAGCAGCTAATTTCGTCTTCTTGTTGAGAACCAACCCGTCCAGACGCTAGATAGTCTCCTTTGCGGTTGAACCGTAGACAAGTCGCATGTCCACTTCCTGGAATGGTCAGCAAAAACTTTGCAACGTCGGCAATGGACGACATACTCAGCTTCTCTGTCAAGGTGTCGGGATAATCCTGCGCTAGGACGAAGGGATCAACAAGAGACAAATTCATGATGGGTGCTTCCTCCAGTGCATCGGCAAACGCCGTGTCAACCCCAGGAAGTTAGGCGAAAAAGTGGTGATAGATTCCCAGCCTGCAAGTAAGGCCGGGAGATTCGCTCGAGAACCAACATCCAGTGTAGCCGACAGCCACAGGAGTTCTCCGCCGGCGGGGGAGGAACACAGCTGCCCGATGAATGAAGCCGGAGAGAAAGAAAGCGGCTGGCGGGCGGTGAAGAAAAAGCCATTTAAATTGTCAGTTACCTTTTCACTGTGAGTGCAGTAGCTGCACCTTGATTGGTGGAAAGTTTACTGCCACTTCACATCTGCCTCAGTTGGGGTTTAGCGCGGCGGACTTATAGAGGCCCCGGAAGGTCGCGCTAGCTTGCGGCTCAGAAAACTCGTTGCCCCATCGCCGACTGACCTGACGTCCAACCGTCTCCCTTTCATCACCTCGACACGCCTCCTGTTCATCGCCCAACACCCCCGACCATCGCGCTTCACATCGCGATATCACTTTCCCAGCTGAAGATATCGCCAACTTCGATCGTGACCCTCTTTTTCTCGCCCTTTTTGAGCTTCGCGCAGTCGGTGGATAAGGTCGCAGGCGCCCTCGTGGCAAGGGCTGCCAGAGGCCACCATCATGGCGAACGTTTACTTCCCCTACTCCAAGGCGCCTTTGCGCACCATCAAGGAGATTCAGTTTGGTCTCTTCTCTCCTGAAGAGATCAAGCGGATGAGTGTGGTCCATGTCGAATACCCGGAAACGATGGTTTGTTTTCCCTCGGCAGCCCAGACCGACTGACCGTGGCAAAATGCTAACGCGGCAACACAACAAACAGGATGATCAACGGCAGCGCCCGCGGACAAAGGGCTTAAACGATCCACGCTTAGGAACGATCGATCGGCAATGGAACTGTGAAACTTGCGAAGAAGGCCAGAAGGAGTGTCCTGGTCATTTCGGGCACATCGAGCTTGCCACACCAGTCTTCCACATCGGTATGTTCCGGCCAGGCGGGCAGATATGCTCTTACTGAGTACCATTGCTGACTTTTCGGCCAGGTTTCTTGACGAAGATCAAGAAGCTCCTTGAGACGGTCTGCCACAACTGTGGCAAGATCAAAGCCAATACGGTTAGTCATCCCTTATGGGATGGCAAATCTATTACGGCAAATTTGCTGACATAGAACCAGTCCGATCCCAAGTTCCTAGAAGCTCTACGCATGAGAGACCCGAAGAGACGATTCGATCATATCTGGCGACTATCCAAGGATGTACTTATCTGCGAAGCCGACCCTCCCCCGGACGACGACGAGCCTTTCTCGAAAGAGAGCTCCAAACCCCTGAGGATGCACGGTGGATGTGGCAATGCACAGCCTCAGATTCGCAAGGAGGGTATCACCCTTGTCGGGACATGGAAGCCCAATAAGATGATGGATGAAATGGACATGCAGCAGCCCGAGAAGAAGGTTATCACTCCTCAGGTTGCTTTGAATGTCTTTCGCACCATCTCATATGACGATGTTCGCATCATGGGTCTGAGCAATGACTACGCTCGTCCCGAGTGGATGGTCCTGACTGTTTTGCCGGTTCCTCCCCCTCCTGTCCGCCCCAGTGTGCTTGTCGGAGGCAGCACCAGCGGCCAGCGCGGTGAGGACGATCTGACATACAAGTTGGCTGAAATCGTCAGAGCAAACCAGAACGTCCAGCGCTGTGAACAGGAAGGTGCTCCAGAGCACGTCGTGCGCGAATTCGAGTCTCTTTTGCAATACCATGTCGCCACCTACATGGACAACGATATCGCCGGCCAGCCGAAGGCCATGCAAAAGTCAAACCGACCCGTCAAGGCTATTCGAAGCCGTTTGAAGGGTAAGGAAGGTCGTCTGCGACAGAACTTGATGGGCAAACGTGTTGACTTTTCTGCACGTACTGTCATTACTGGTGACCCTAATCTGTCCCTTGAGGAAGTCGGTGTCCCGAAGAGTATCGCGAGGACCCTGACCTATCCCGAGGTTGTGACTCCCTACAACATTGAAAAGTTGCAGCAACTTGTAATGAACGGTCCGAATGAGCATCCAGGTGCGAGATACATTGTTCGCGACAACGGCGAGCGTATTGATCTTCGTCATGCCAAGAGAGCTGGCGGGCAACAGTTGTTGTATGGATGGAAGGTGGAGCGTCATATCATGGATGGGGATGTCATCCTGTTCAATCGACAGCCCTCTCTTCACAAAGAGTCCATGATGGGTCACCGTGTTCGCGTTATGCCCTATTCCACATTCAGATTGAATCTGTCTGTCACCACTCCTTACAACGCCGATTTCGATGGTGATGAAATGAACTTGCACGTCCCCCAGAGTGAGGAATCGCGCGCCGAATTGAGTCAACTCGCGTTGGTCCCGATGAACATTGTGTCTCCTCAGCGAAACGGTCCACTGATGGGTATTGTGCAGGATACCCTCTGTGGTATCTACAAGATTTGCCGGCGTGATATCTTCTTGACCAAAGATCAAGTGATGAATACCATGATGTGGGTTCCTGAATGGGATGGGGTGATTCCCCCTCCGGCAATCTTGAAGCCCAGACCTCGGTGGACCGGTAAGCAGATGATCAGCATGGCGCTTCCTCCTGGACTTAATCTTTTGCGTGTCGACAAGGACAGCTCGCCGCTTTCCGAGAAGTTCTCTCCTCTGGCGGACGGTGGTCTTCTTATCCATGGCGGTCAATTGATGTATGGCATGTTCTCCAAGAAGACTGTGGGTGCTAGCGGTGGCGGTGTCATCCATACCATTTTCAATGAGTACGGACACGAGACAGCCGTTGCTTTCTTCAATGGTGCTCAGAGAATTGTCAACTACTGGCTGCTGCACAATGGTTTCAGTATCGGTATCGGTGACACTATTCCCGACGAGCTTACAATTCAGCGGATCGAGAACTGTGTGCGCAATAGGAAGAAGGAGGTTGAATCCATCACTGCAAGTGCTACGGACAACACTCTTGAGCCTTTGCCTGGTATGAACGTGCGTGAGACGTTCGAGAGTAAGGTATCGCGTGCTTTGAACAATGCTCGTGATGAGGCTGGTAGCGAGACCGAAAAGAGTTTGAAGGACTTGAACAATGCCATCCAAATGGCACGTTCTGGATCCAAGGGTTCTACTATCAACATCTCCCAGATGACTGCAGTGGTCGGACAGCAATCCGTCGAAGGAAAGCGTATCCCTTTCGGGTTCAAGTACCGTACTTTGCCTCACTTTACCAAGGACGATTACTCCCCCGAGTCGCGTGGTTTCGTCGAGAACTCTTACCTACGTGGATTGACTCCCACGGAGTTCTTCTTCCACGCAATGGCTGGTAGAGAAGGTTTGATCGATACCGCTGTCAAGACTGCTGAAACGGGTTACATCCAGCGTAAGTTGGTCAAGGCGCTCGAGGAGGTCATGGTTAAATATGACGGCACTGTTCGAAACTCTCTGGGTGATATTATCCAATTTATCTACGGAGAAGATGGTCTCGACGGAGCCCACATTGAGAACCAGCGCGTGGATATTATCAAATGCTCGGATGATAAGTTCCGGGATCGTTTCCGTGTCGACCTGATGGACCCTGAGCGGACACTGGGACCGGAGGTTCTCGAGCAGGCTAACGAAATCGCGGGTGATGTCGAGGTCCAGAGACACTTGGACGACGAGTGGGAGGACCTGCTTCGGGATCGTGCGTTCCTGCGCAGCGTATGCAAGGAAGACGAAGAGATGATGCAGCTCCCGATCAACGTGCAGCGTATTCTAGAAACTGCCAGAACCACTTTCAGGATTCGGGAGGGCACCATCAGCGACCTCCATCCCGCGGAGGTCATTCCTCAAGTGCGCGCTCTGTTGGATCGTCTGCTCGTCGTGCGTGGTGATGACATCATCTCGCGCGAAGCCCAGGACAATGCGACTCTGCTGTTCAAGGCACAGCTTCGCAGCCGTCTCGCGTTCCGGAGATTAGTTACTGAGTACTCGATGAACAAACTTGCTTTCCAGCATGTCATCGGAGCCATCGAGATGAGATTCGCCAAGGCTGGTGCCAATCCTGGTGAAATGGTTGGTGTGCTTGCTGCCCAGTCTATTGGTGAGCCTGCCACGCAGATGACACTGAACACGTTCCACTTTGCTGGTGTCTCCTCCAAGAACGTTACTCTTGGTGTCCCTCGTCTTAAGGAAATTCTGAACGTCGCTACCAACATCAAGACCCCCTCCATGACTGTCTACCAGGAAGCTGCCCGGTCCCACGACAAGGAGGGTGCCAAGCAATTGCGAAGTGCTGTCGAGCATACTAGCTTGCGTTCCGTCACCGAGGCCACTGAGATTTACTATGATCCTGACATTCAAACTACCGTCATCGAGAACGACCGGGATATGGTTGAGTCTTACTTCATCATTCCCGAAGATGTCACGGATGATTCGTCTCGCCAGTCGAAGTGGCTGCTCCGTATCATCCTCAGTCGGCCGAAGCTCTTGGATAAGGGTCTTACGGTGCAGGACGTCGCTGCTAGGATCAAGGCGGCCTATCCTAAGGATATTGCTGTCATCTTCAGTGACAACAACGCTGATGAGCAGGTTATTCGAATCCGGCAGATCCAGGATTACAAGGAAGACGAAGAGGATGAAGATGTCGAGTATGATGTCACGCTCAAGAAGTTGGAGCAGCATCTTCTGGACACGCTCACTCTTCGTGGTGTTCCTGGTGTTGAGAGGGCGTTCATCAACGAGAAGAGCAAGGTTCGAGTTTTGGAAGACGGCTCTTTGTTCGCGAGCAAGACCGATCCGCTTTGCAAGGAGTGGGTTCTCGAGACAAGTGGCTCTTCCCTGGGTGAAGTTCTGGCAATTCCCGGCGTTGATGCTACTCGGACGTATTCCAACCAGTTCATCGAGGTGTTCGAGGTCTTTGGTATCGAAGCTGCTCGGACGGCTGTTCTTCGCGAGTTGACCCAGGTGCTTGCCTTCGATGGATCTTACGTCAACCACCGCCACTTGGCGCTTCTGGTTGATGTGATGACTGTACGCGGTTACCTGACACCGGTTACTCGTCACGGTATCAACCGTGCCGATAACGGTGCGCTCATGCGTTGTTCCTTTGAAGAGACAGTGGAAATTCTGCTTGAAGCCGCCGCCTTTGGAGAGTTGGACGACTGCCGTGGTGTGTCGGAGAACTTG